ACCAGCATAGCAAAGCAGTCAGCGTGTATGGCTCTACTTTGGACGGGCTGGCACAGCGGGCATTACGGCGTTCTGGGATGGGATGGCGCGAGTCGGATCATGGGCACAAAGCTGTCATCTCTCTGTACTACTCTCACAAGGGGCATATAATGCGGTTCCAAACTTTCTCATCAATTATGACACGAGCGTACCATGGGTTGCTCACACTACATACTCGAACACATCAGCCAGAATGGCCTCCCCTCCATCTTCTTTTTCGTCGTGTGCATGGGCACCGGTGTATCTCACAGCATCACAGCCAAGAGTCTTCTTCCTCATCCGGCAACCGGGCCATGGCGAGCCGGAGCGAGCTGGGTCAACGCATCGCACGAGAATACTTCACACGCAGTCTGCTGAGCAGCATCGACGACGCCCAGAGCATTGAGCATTACACGACCATGCAGCTCGCTGCTACCTATCGACCGGTAATAGAAAACGGCTGCGGCGGGGCACGTCGTTGATAGCGGCCGTGGTATAGGGCCAGCCCGCAAGCCCTTTTGCAGGACGGTTGGTGGTGGTATATAACAGAGCTGCGATATACCCTCCTGCTGACACGAGCCTGCAGTTTTGTTTTGTCTTCATGCGAGTTCGTGGCTCACGTTCGCTCCCCACGTTTCTGCGCCGCCTCAGAAACCCCTCTCGCTTCCGTGTCAATGGCCCTGTCCGCCCTGCCTCCTGCCCCCTCCCTCCCTCTCGCAGCCGCGAACGTGCCGGGCGTCAAGAGGTTTTGGTTGGGGAAACGCCTGCATTATTGGCGGTTGGATCGGGAGCTATGAGCCGTTTCTGAACCCGGCGCAGGGCGCTCGTGATTCGCGGAACCGAGAAATGCATCGCGATTATGCGTTTTTGGTCGTTGTTAACAGAACTCCCGCAATTGACGGTTGCCGGGTGGGGTCGTGTAAGTCAACGTCACTGCAGCCGGCCCACGCGAGAAGCACGCCGGCCGCGATACGTCCGTACCTCAGGCTGACACGTTCACAGCATGCCGGGGAGGGAAACTGCGTGCGAGCCGGAATATTTTCATTGGGGGTTCGCTAAGGTCGAGACTTGTATCGCCCAGCGCACCCCTCCGAGGCCGTTCCAGATTCTCGTGATGTTTTTGGAGCCTTGTACTTTCCATGCAGCGCATAATGGGTGGAAAACGGGGCTGACCGGGGATTGGCCCATGGCCTGATCGACGAAATATGCGACGGTCACGACAGCTGGGCTGCAGCGCCGCATGCCATTGCGATTCGGTTCTCTGCATGCACGAAGCTCGATTCGTTCCTCGGGCGGCCAAACTCTTGGTCATGGACATTGGTGTTGCGATAGAGATGGTTGAGAGGCGTGTCGGTGTTGGGGTTGCTATGCTCCGCTTGCCCGTAAGCCGCTCCTCCGGTTACAGCAACTTCTCCTGCAACCCCGTCAAAAAATCAAGTCAATCTCACACATGCAGACGCAAACGTGACGCAACAGGCGGATAGATGCCGATGCCAGGGTTGCAAGAAGCGCCATACTTAAGCACTACGTTACAATCCCGGGACGGCGATTGTGAAGCTGGCCACATCGAGTCATCTATGAAGCCTTTCGTCTTAATGTTGCTTTCTCGATGCCAGCGAGGAGATTTCGAGCGCGCGCGGGTAACGTGTCTTGAGCCGGCTTCCGATGAAAGGCGTCGTTCGGCGTTGCAGTTTGCGAGGAGGGGCCAGATCGAGAGACGGAGGTTGTGGGCCTCTGAGCGAACATGACCACTCGTGATGGATCATGGGCGTTGATCATTCAACTGCATTTGCTTAAACCGGACGAGGTCGGCTAGGTTAGGTTTTGACAGCTGGAGACATGTCGTATTGTCCCACAGCGCAGATAAGGGTCGAGTCGAGGGTTGATCAGCGTGACAGCTTCAGTGACGGGCGTGTCTGAAAGTTTTGACCAAGTGGGCAAAAAATGAGGCGATGCTGAAATGGAAATGGAGAAAGAAGCGCCTGGGCGGTCATGGCGAAGCGGGTCGAATTGACTTTTGACAATAAGTGGGGGTTACGGAGTTGGGCCATCGGTATGTACTCGTACCTATCCGTACCGGCCTATGTGCTACGGCAATAGATATCCCGTAATCCGTGTGCGTATCCGTAGTGTAGTGTAGTGAGATCCGGAAATAATAACCACCAGACGAAAGGGACCGTTGGCTGATCCAAGCTCCAACCCTGTTCTTGCTCTGCTCAGTCCTGGTTTTAGAAACAGGTTTTGTCTGTTTCGTCAAAGTCAACTGATTCCGTGGGTAACTGTGGACTTTCCTTTCCCCGAAACATATCCTCGTCCGGCCCGTGTGTTCGGTGCCGATGGAGCGGCCGCCCGTAGTTGGGGCCTACGTCCAAAAACGGCGCCGTCTCCGGCCGCCGCATTCTCTCAGCGTTACATTGCCGATACGGTACGCCGGGTACCATGGTCTGACAACTGCTGCCCTACGCACTTCCTCCAAGGGCGTTCCTAGACCTGCATTTGATCGTCCCGGCCCTCCGGTCCCGTCACCAGTCACCACCTCCGGAGCACTCTACGAAGCTTTCCGCTGACTCCGACTGCTACGGCCAAAAATGTAGCCGACGGCGGCTTCCGACTTGAACACGGGGTTCCTGGTCGTCCGTTCGTTTTCTTGTGGAACATCGTACGTTGCCGTCGCACCCCAGCGAGTCAAGTCGCCTTGACCCGACGCCCGGAATCTCCCTCGTCCATGTTCTCCGGCCTTGCTTTCCGATGTTTGTGGACTTCGAGACCGGAGCTGGAATATGAATGGGAAATATCCTTCCTTTCTCTCATGGCATTTGTTCTGCCGTTCTACCGCCAACTACCCTGGTCCTTGACGCTAAGGCCTCGTCCGGCGGGGATGATGGACATGACAATGACAGCTTGCTATTCCCCATTTCCTGTCAGTTTCCCCTAGAGGCTCAAAACCGGGGTTATGTGCCGGCCTGTTCCTGGCCCGTCTCCGCCGCCTCGTCATCCCCGTCGACATAGCGGCGCCGAATACAACGCTCCGCACCCCGTCAAAACGGCGAAGCGAAGGGAAAAGGAAAAGGGACCAAGAGCTCGTCGTACGACGCCTGCGAGTCAGTGGGATGATGTCAGGTAGGATGCCGCAGGCCGGATGATGTTCTCTTGCAGGCCATATGCTGCATGTTAATGAAGGCTGATAGAACGGTCTCGACGCCATCTCCACGTTCCCCTGCCGACGCGTCGGCTCCAAGAAACCGAGACAGCGAGACGTTCGCGTTCGTCGACGCCGTTCTGGCTCGATCCGGCCCCTGAAAACACACAAGGGAGCGGCCGACAGCAGTTGTCATGGGTACGCCAAGGAGCCGTGTGCCCCGGTTTGACTCCGCTCGTTCTATACCTTAATTAGACGAGACAACAAACACGTCTGCCAGATGGTTACATGTTGGACGAACTTTTACCGAGAGCCTGGACCTTGGATGTCGTTGTTTGACCCGAAATACCTATCATAATGAGCAGTCATCCGCCTCACCGCTTCAAGCGCCAGATTCTAGCTGACAACTTGACCGGCGATCGATAAAGTTACTGCACACGTGCGACAGCAGGACATTGTGATCGCTTTGACCCATGGCTGGGGTTTTCGAGATCCATTCCACGATGGAGAAATGACAGAACTCTTGCCCGACTTGGCTTCTAGAAGATCAACGCTTGCCTCACCGGAAGTTTGTCTGCTTGTCGATTGGAACCGGGGGGTTGAACGAGTCGAGCGAGTCGAAGCCGGCTACGATACCCGCGCAGAGATTGCTCGAAGAAGGAGAACCCAACTTGGCGGTCAAACAGGGGATCAGTAACGGAGTGGCCTCGCGGGATAAGAAGCGGATACCACGTCAAAGCTGAAAGAGGCTCGACCGCGTACGCGATATCGCCATCGCCGACGGTGGAGAGGCAAAATCTTACAAGGCGGTCGTAGTTTTGAGTTTGCTGTCCGTATTGTTCAAGGTAGACGGGGAGTTAAGATGTAATTGCACGAACAAGTGATAATCGTCTGACTAGGATAGGCATATTAATGGAAGCAATACTGAGGAGCGACTCCCAAGTTCTCTATTCTTTCTGTATTGGGTAGCTACACCCCCCTCTCACCAGTATTTCGACATTTGACAAGGGCAGGAGTACTCGATTCGATCTTATCTTATAGCCGATGGAGGGGAAGGAAAATTCAGGCACCTTGCCGTCAGCACCTGACTTAAGGTGCCTGTAAGTATTCGCGGGTACCTAGTGAGTGGTCTTGTAGAACCCTAGACGTTCCGGCCGATACACTGTCTGGAGCAGACACCAGGTTGAGATCTCGCTCGTAGCACCCTTGTTTTCCTTTCTTGAGGAAAACCGTGGCTGAGCATGCTATGAAGTTATTCCAGCTATCAGGGATATTATGCGTGGAATCAGTGGCGTACCAGAGGGATAGAACCGTTTCCGATGATTTCCTCCAGTCTGCATGCCACGAGCTCATGTTTTCTCGGCCGCCGCGCGGCTTTTGTCAAGATGTGAAGAATCTCAGTCGACTGACTTCGCACCAATGGCTCCCTTCCACACTCCCTACAGGTGTTCGCAGCACCGTCTTGTTCTTACGTCTTGCACTTTCTTTGAGAGTGTCAAGTGATTGAGACTCCAGGGGGTACGAGCGACGGTGTTTTCATACGTAAGAAGCAATTGAGGCCGGTTTGCCTATGACGACCGTTCCGTAGCAACTTCCTCCATGGTTTGTTCAAAGTGCCAATATCCCTTGCACCTACTTCTTACATGCTGTGGGCGATCTGCCTCATCCAACTACCTTACTTCGTGTTTTTCCGCTTTGCGTCACAGTGCTGCACCAAGAGTATGAATGTAGCAGCGGCATCACCAAGTGCGTGTTTACCTCTTGGTTCGCATCAGAGCGTATTGAAGCCGCGACGTGAACACATCGAAGTATTATGTGGATAATTCTGAACAGACCGATCGCCATGTGCGCCCTCGCAGTCTTTCCAAGAAAGGAAGGAGACGATGCTCTCGCAAGACCAACGAGAGAAGCCCAGATTCGCCTTCAAAGTATTGTCATACTTGTCGTTGCTATTCTTTCAATCCTTGGAGCTGGATGGATCATGCTCAGTTTCTGGGTTCGCTCAGCACACCCAACCCTCAAGAATTTCCATTGCTAAGAATTACACAGGTGTTTCCCAACTTACGTTCCTTCCGCCACCGACTCATTCTCGGTCTTGCTATTAGCGACTTCATCATGGCTCTCAACTTTCTTTTCTCAACAACGATGAATATTGCCGGTCGTTTCATCGACCATCCCGAGAACACGGCCTTCTGCAGCTTTAACGGCTTCATCACACAGGTCTTCGTCATTCAGACCGACTATTGGGTGCTCACTATCGCCGTTTGCACGTACTTTGTCCTCGCAGGTCACAAACGGCCGTCTAGCTGGGTTCAGGACCATGGCGTTATCATTTGGGCAATACCCTGGTTCTTTTCCACGCTCTGGGCGTCACTCGGCCTTGCTATAGTTGGTTACGAAGATATAGGTGCTTGTAAGTGCTGTACTTGCTCTCTGCGAATCCGTATCCTGATCTTTGGTCTGTCATCAAAGGGTGTTGGTTCGGTTCGGATTGGATCCGTCTGGCTGTCAACTTCTTCCCTCGGTGTAAGTCGTCAGGTTCACTACCATGTCGCACCGCTGACACGTGTTCTAGGGGTCATCATAGTGACTATGTTTCTCTTGTATGCCTACTTGTGGACCATCCTTTACAAGGCGCACAACCGATTGAGCTCGGTAGAGGCAGTCTCTCCTGAGAATCTTGTTTCCGGAAATGCAACCCCGATCGTGAGCCAGCCGAGCAGCTTCCAAGGTAGCAGCTTCCGAGGCGATCTCGAGGGCCGCTCATCTGGCTCTGTCCGCAGACTCAAGAAGGTGATGAATGCAAGCCTCGTATTGATCAGATGGACATTGACTCACATCGTGCAGATCGCGCGTCTGATGCTGCTCTACCCGCTCGCATACGCAATCATCTGGTCCCTCCCAACTGCCATTCGAATCTACAACGCCACGGAAAAAAAGCCAGCACCATTCGCATTGCAAACCCTTGACAAAGCCAGTATCGTCATTCAAGGCTTCGTTGATGCCGTCATCTATGGAGTCAACGAAACCTCGTTATCGAGTTGGCGCTTGCGATTGTCTCGTAAGGGTTATCCTATAGTCCAGAGCACAAACGTTCCATCGACCAACGTTAACAGAGATACATCTCCTCGGCCAAACAATAGAAGGCTCCATGCGTTGACAATTTCGGATTCAACTGAATCCACAGAACCTGGAAGGCTGGAGGCAACTGAGCCGGCGGATGGAATCGAACTGAGAGATTTCGGGAATCAAGCTGCTTCAACGGAGACTCGGACAATCGCTGGAGTAGATGCTGCACACTCAAAGGCGGGAAGGGGAACACCTATCACAGCGCATTTGTCACCATAATCATCGTGCACAAGACGTTTAGTCCATGGAATAGAGGTGTAAGCCTACTTATCTGATACTACACCAGAAGCTCTTGATTCTCGGTGCGCCAACTGGCAGTCCAGCTGGAATGATTAATCACCTATTGAGACGCGTTCCTAAGCACATTTTACGACTTGTTTCAATGGTATTGACCTTCCATTACTACTCTGATCATGCCATCCATTTGTAAACTTTTATCATACCTGAAGCACATTCTTCATAACTCATTAACCTCCACCTGCTCCGAAATAATTCACCAAAACTTTTGAGATACCGGCACATCCCCTTAGTTCTTGGCGCCAGTCGTCTCAGCGGCAGACCCGGCAGGGACATCCTTCGCGAGCTTAGACTTCTTGACCATACGAAGGCCACCGACAAGCATGACAAGGCCCTCGATACCGAGGACGACGACTAGGGCAACGAGAGCACCAATGACGCCAGCGACGGGCGTGGAGATGCCGTTGCCGTCCTTGCTGGACTTGTCGCCGGTGGCATCGGTGGTGCCGTCCAGGCCGAGCGCAGAGGCGCAGGTGCCGGTCGAGTTGCCGCAGGCGGTGCACCAGGCCTTGGTGTCCTTGACGGCGAACTTCTCCATCTCGGAGACGAAGGTGTTCCAGGGCAGGAGCGTCTCGGACTGGCCGAAGAGGGGGTACTCGGTCAGCGGGTTGATGCCGGCGGCGCCCTGCGCGAAGCGGAAGCGGACGGCGACGTCGTCCTCGGCGGGGGTCGCGGTCGAGGCGTTGGTGACGAGCTCGAAGACCATGGACGAGGCGTAGTCGACGACGGCCTCGAAGTCGGACGAGACCTTTTGCAGCTGGGCGAGGCCGAAGAAGGAGGCGAAGGTGGCGTAGGCGCCGAACTGGATGTTGGCCTTCGTGGAGCCGGCCTTGGAGGCGGACTTGAGGGTCGCGTTGAGGCCCTGGAGGACCTGGCCCGCGAGGACCTTGCCGGCGATGGCGCGGATGGGGTCGGACTCGTTGTAGGCCAGGTTCCACTCGTGGACGTCGGCGTAGGACTTGAGCTGGCGGAGGGTGTCGTTGGTCAGGAGGTTGTCGGAGGAGATGGAGTCGTTGTGGATGGTGGCGACGTTGACGAGGTCGAAGATGGTGTAGGCGTTCTCGAAGGTGGCCTGCTTAGCAGCAAAAGTGCCGTTGATGACGGGGAGCAGGTCCTGGTAGAAGGCGGCCGAGTCGTCGCTGACGGAGCGGTACTCGGGGGAGGAGAAGTAGTTGTTGGAGCTGACGACGGCGTTGCCGCAGCCGGAGCCGCCCTGGAGCCACTCGCTGTTCTCGGCGTCCTGGGAGGTGGCGGCGGTGCTGACAGCGTTGACGGGGACGTACTGGTATCCTCCGAGGGGCGCCTCGACGCTGGTGCCGTTGGCGAGGGTGTTCGCGGAGCCCGAGGGCGGGTAGAAGCCCTGGAGCCAGGCGTAGGCGGAGGACTGGAGGACGACGTCGGTGGGAGAGGTGACGGCCAACTGCTCGGGTCGGACGTCGTCGGTGCTCATAGAGCGGATCTGGGCCGAGGCGTTTGAGCGGACGTAGCGCTCGCCGTAGTAGAGGCCGGAGGTGTAGACCTCTGAGGCGCCGAGGTCGGTGAAGCGGACCGGGGGCCACTTTTTGGCGGTGCGGTCGCCGTGGCGGTGGAAGACGTAGATGCCGAGGACAGTCTCGGCGGCGGCCGGGACGATGGGCAGGCCTAGGGCCAGGAGGAGCTTGAGTTCCATGTTGGCTGCGTGGATTGGGCTCTGGCTGAGTGTTAGTTGACTTTGCTTCTAGTTGCATTTTGTTCGTGAGGTGTCGAAGTTGTCTTCTGCGTTTCCTTCTGAATAATCCTCGACCTTGACGTTTGAGGTCGCGACAACAATGGGAGTGCAGTTCCGGACTGTAGTTGATGATGGATTCGATTTGGTGTACCTACTTAGTTCCGTGTATTGGTGGGTATCACCGATTAGCTTGTGATCAACACAGTAAAGTGCTAGATCGTGGCAACAACAATAGAGACGCAGTTCCAGCCGGCTCGTTGTTCCAGTCTTGGACTTGAAGACGAAGGCACCGTCGAGGTGATTGAATGACCTGGGAAATGGAGAGGAGTCTGGCACGTTCAAGGCGAGTCAACCCTACACCTCAAGACGGGCATCGCCGGCTCTTTATCCATCACCGACCGTCGGCCTCCGCACATGTTGACTGGCGGAAGGGCGCGTGTAGCCATGTCCAGACCAACGAATTCCCTTCAGTCCACAGTCCCGAGGCACCATCTCCATCACCGCAGTAGCGCTGTCTCTCCACCATCGAGGGTCGTCGACCCGCTTCCTAGCTCCGAACCAGTCGATGGTTCGCGATAAAGGAGGGGTAAGAGAGAAGCAAGCCACTAGGGACGGCAAGGCAAGCAAGGTAGGTAGTCATTGCAACTCATCACCGGCCACACCCTATCAGGGACAATCAAAAGCCAACTATGAGAGGGAATTGTGTCCGGTCGGGAATGGGGGAGGATACGCTGAAAGGGCAATTCCTGTGGCCAATTAGTCAAAAGTTCGACAGCGTCCCCACTCAAGCTGCAAGCTATCACCTGCAGGTCGAGGGAAGTGGATGCCGGCTTGGCCCAAAAGCTTGAGTTGCGCCGCACGCGGCCGGCCTATTTCAGAGCCGCTAATCAGTTGACTTGGTGACAAAAGGCCCCCCGGGCTTGAGCAGAGTGTGTTGCTGCATCTCCGCTCCGCGGCACGGCGTCGGGTTATCGGGCGGGTAGGGTTAGAGTAGGATTGGGCTTCATAGTGCCGACAGCCGATGATTGATAAACGTGATGAGTGAACCCATGTCTCTGACGGGAAAAGGTGACGGTTGGAATGTTCAAATTGTTTGATTTCCCGCATTTCCAGTATCTAACATGCAGGGCGGATCAGCAGCCGCCCGCGCTATATCGAACTTACAGTCTTTGAACCCCGGTCGTTAGTCAAAATGTCCGCGGACTTGCTGGAATTAAGAGCTCCCATGCAATTCGGACCCACAGCAACAGCCCATTCACAACTTCGACGTCTTACGCCCGCTCTTCACGTTCTTGGAGATTTCTCCTTTCAAGAGAAAATCAGGATACCTCATGTCCTCATCCATCCCGACGCCCAAAGCGCCTTGTCGCCTCCATGCGCCGCCGTCGACAGGAATTGTCTGGCCGTTGACGAAGCTGCCGGCGTCGCTGAAGAGGTAGACGGTGGAATCGGCGATGTCCCGGACGTAGCCCCACCGGCCCTGGGGAACCACGGCGTCGGCCTTGGACTGGTCCATCTTGCTGCTGGACAGCCGCTCCATGCCCTCGGTGTCCCTGATCGGACCAGGCGCGATGACATTGCTCGTGACTCCGAACGGGCCGTACTCCAGCGTCACGGAAGCCATGAGAGCATCGACAGCTGCCTTGGCGGCGGATACATGTGCTTGCAGCGGCATACCGGTGTAGTGGAATGTTGCCGACACGAAAATGATACGACCACCTGTTCTGGCGTCCGCGCTGGGTGTCGGGTTCTTCTTTGCCGATTCAACCAGGTAAGGAAGAGTAGCTTTGAGCGTGTTGAAAGTGCCCAGGACATCAATATCCATGACGGCCTTGAAGGCGTTGGGGCTCATGCCGGACAGAGGTGCAATGAAGTTGCCGGCGGCTCCCGCGCTGCCGGACCGTCAGTATCGGAGCCGGACCCATTGAAAATCGGAACTTACATGACGAAGTCGATGCTACCAAGCTCCTTGGCGCATCTGTCTGCCGCATCCTGCAGATTCTGGGGCTGAACGGCGACATGTCAGTTTTTGATGTCTCTCCAGCGGCAGTGGAATCGCTGCATACATTTCTGACGTCGCAACCTCCGATGCCAATGACCTTGGCTCCCGGCCTCGCAGTCATCAGGTCCTTAGCCATGGCTTCGGTTTTTTCGACATTTCGGCCAATGATACAGGCGTTCGCACCGAGACGGACCAAAGCGCGTGTTTGCGCGCTGCAAATGGTACCAGCGCCGCCGGTTACAAAGGCAACTCTGTCATCTGGAAGCACATGTTAATCTCACCGTGTTTTGCGGGAGCACAATGGTGGCACGGGTGACCGTACTGAAGATACCGCCCTTCCATACCGGACTCAAATACTCGGACTCGGGAACAGGCATGTTTGCAAGATGTCTTTTGTGAAGTATGATGGCGAAGATGATGTCTACCCCAGATATAAATGGCGGGTGGGACCTTTCTTTCGACGAGATACGGCAGAATAAGCTGCGAATGCAGAGAACTCCGACAAAGGAACTCAGTGGATCCGATGGTTGTACAGAATGTCGGATAGTATACCGATCTATGTCGCACAAGAAGAAGAAACGAAAAAGAATCCGGCTGGAGCTGCAGATGGTTTTGGACGTCGGACGGCAGAGTGCAGCTCAGATCGCGGACGGCAGTGACGCGACGGACCTCGGTAAGTTCGGAGGGCGGAGCTCTTCACGGTGAGAGACGACAGTGATTAGTCGTTGATTTTGCTTATGTCATCGAGCTCGTTACCGAGAGGGCCAAGGAACCCACGTCGAGATGCTGGAGCTGTCACCACCTGGGTGCAGCTGTCTACTGGGCTCTGAGAGGAAACAGCGTGAAGAGACAGTTTCCTCCGCCACGACGGGCTCTAATTTAGCGCGCATGCTCCCTGGAGCCATACTGTCTTAACTTCTCTCCATGTGAGATACCTTACTCCAGCACCCAACGTTGGTTGGTATGACGGCTCAAGCTGAGTTGAGTTCGATCATGTTGAACAAGATCAACAGCCTTATGCGACCGTCTTGTCTTCGATGGCGATAAGAAGAGAGCGAGAGTGGTCGTGAGCTTCTGAGCAAAACCACACCGCCAGGATTCTACAGCAGAAAGGATGGTCTATCTTCCCAAGACTCTGTAAGCTCATGCATCAAGCTCGATTGACGTTTTGACGTCGACACATGATTGGACACTCTGCACAAAAGATCCGTTTAACCACCAACCGGCCTGCCATGCCTGTTCGAGAACCAACAACCAGCACACATCACATCCATGTCACCAGCTCGCATATTTGCCCACGGCCGAGGAGAGGGGTAGCCTGTGGTGCCACTTGAGCAGACGAACAAATCTGCGTCCTTGAATACTCGACATTAAGGTACCTGCATCTTTCGTACCGTAGAGCTGCCTATCATGTGCGAAGACTCTCTCGATCACGACGAACCGGTGATTGATTCAAACGACAGTGTAGGATCTACAAGAAAAACTAACTGGCATCCTATGACTGACACTTATCGAGTAGGCCACAGACGACAGTTCGTCGGATCTCGGAACGGTGAGCATGAAATTTCCAACGTGCATGCTGGATTCGGCTTACCATTGTTCCTCAGAGCATCGCGACGTCGAGCCACAGTATTCCCAGCTCAATACTCAGGTTCCGCACTGAAAATGGCAGGACGTACCAATCGTATAGGGATGGCAGTCAGTCAATTTGATCTTTTTGCTGTACATGGTGGGTGAGACTGACATGCACAGAATACAGCTATCCCAATGATGAGCAGGAGAACAAGAGATTAGGTAGGTGACCACTATGCTACCCCATTCACTGGCACTCTCTTAAAGGATATGCCAGATCTGCAGCACAACCTGATGCTTCTCACCTTGCACGACAAGCTAGGTCTATGCCCACCCAACGAACCGAACTCAAATGTCAAGCATGTCCTTGATGTCGGAACTGGTACAGGAATGTGGGCTATGGACTTTGCAGATGAACATCCTGAAGCTGAGGTACCTAGATGCTTATCATCCGTGGAAACCATACCTCTAACATGTGCTCTAGGTTCTTGGCGTGGATCTTTCGCCAGTTCAGACAATGTAGTATGTGAGAGCAGCATCAGCCGTTTGATCATTCTGACTGACATTTGTCAGTGTTCCGCCCAATGCGACATTCGAGATCGACGATGTCGAAGAACAGTGGACATACAGTCGTCCCTTTGATTACATCCACGTGCGTGGAATGACGTCCAGCATCTCTGATTGGAGGAAGTTCTTTGATTCATGTTTCGAGTGCGTCAATTACTCAATCTCACTTCGCGACAATCTAAGCTGACTGAATCGTCCAGGCACCTCGAACCCGGCGGGTATCTCGAGTTGCAGGAGGGTCACATGAGACCAGACTGTGACGATGGGACGCTTACGAGGGATCATGCGATTTCCAAGTGGGTTGACCATCTAGAAGAAGCCAGCGCTAGATTCAATCGCCCATTTGTAGATTGCCCTAGTCTCGTAAGGGTGATCGAGCAGGCTGGTTTTATTGACGTCAAAATGTTCAAGTTCAAGTGGCCTCTCAATCCATGGGCTAAGGGAAACCATTATAAGCTCATGGGTGTATGGACTGAAGAGAACTTCCATGAGGGCATTGAAGCGTGGACCCTAGCTCCTCTGACCAGAGCGCTCGGATGGACGCCAGAGGCAGTCTTGGCGCTTCTCGAAGAGGTGCGAAAGGAATTGAGTGACGTTCACATACATGCGTATCTTCCGATGTAAGTCGGGGGTTTCCCCTGCGTTACTGCTTTTCTCCACCCGCAATGGCATTCTCGGCAATATTCTGACCAAAGACAGCTACATTATCCATGGAAGAAAGCCAATGACTTCTTGTTAGCAGGTGCAAGACTGGGATTGAGCTATCAAGACATGGCCGGTATTCAAGCACGAGAAAACTTCAAATCACAACGTACACGTGGGGGTATATTCATTTTTGTTTTGCAGTTCTAGAGAGTGTTGGCTTGCTTCTAGAGGGTTAAAAACGATGTGTTCTCAGAATGTTTACTTGGCTGCCTGAATGTAAATTGAGATGTCTCCAACAGCAGAAAACAGGTCTTTTATTTAGCGACATAATGATCATTAGGGCCATATCTCATTGAGATTCTCGTCTCAACAAGTGTTCGAAGATGGTGTTCTGCAACTCATGTATCTAATGCAGAGAATTATGCAGCATTTGCAACCTCGGTGTAAGCTCGAGAGTGCAAACAAGAGCACGGATAATTTCACATTAAGCTCAGCTTACCCCATGTGGAAGCTCCACATCAGGTACCCACCGCCAAGCAGCCAACCAAAACACAGCGAAACAACCCCTCTCTGTTTGCTATTCCCGTCTCGTGCGAGCGGCAGGCGGCAAGGCGGGAGCGTCGTCAGAAAGCGTCAATCATTCCCGCCACGACCCCATCCTCAAGACGCTTTCCTCACCTGTGCCTTGCCGTGCCTTACCTTCTCTCGACACCTCAGTGGCCAGGTCTAGCCAAGTTTGGGTCAGATCAGGTTGAACAAAGGGACAGGGCACCAACCGAACACCCCCTCCATCAGCGAACCAACCGACCGAACCACCACTCGACCCTCCAGCAAGTCATCAGATGCCGACCCTAGGATCTCTTTGACTTTCGCATTCTACAACAACAGTGACAGAGCCTCTACAACTTCCCTTCCACACACAACCCACTGATATCTTCGAACCGCACCCGCCACCATGACTTCCAAAGGAGTTTCGCTCCTGAAGTTCGTGGGAACCGTTTCCCTCGGCCTTCTGACTGTACGTTGCCGCCCCTGCTCCCTCCCGCTCCCGAACGCACCGACCGACTTGGCCTGTCATCGGATCACCAGTGACGCCACTATTCCCATTCCCCTCCACCTCCCCGCACTCATACCCTGAACCTGGACACCCGACGATGGGCTCCATTGCCGCGCGCGACGACCCAGTATCGCATCGCATCAAAAGCTAACGTTCTTCGCAAACAGGGCCTTTCCTACTCTCTCTCGACCGTCACGATCCCGTCGATCCTCTCCCTCCCCTCCTCATCAGACGCCCTCCGCACCTTCCAGAACCTCTACCCGACCGCCACGAACCGGCTGCGCGTGCTGACCGGCGTCTCCGCCGCATCCTTCCTCGTCGCCTTCTTCCTCTCCCCGCGCGCCTTCCGCCATCCCTACCTCGTCTACGCTTCCGTCCTCTGCCTGACCTCCGGCCTCGCCGAGCAAATCACCCCCTATGTCCTGAAGAGCTCCTGGGAGTCCTCCAAGGAGGGTATCGCCGCCCGTCGCTGGGTTGCTCGGGAGGCCGCTCGTGAGCGCGAGCGAGAGCGCCAGTCTGCCCGTCTCGCGCGCCAGGAGGCCCGCATGGAGGCCAGTTACGAGGTCCTCGGCGACAGCCACAGCGACGCCGCGAGCGAGGGAGAGTCGGCTGCGGCGGCTGCTGCTGCAGAGGAGGAGAGGGCTCTGAACGGCGAGGAGGTCCGCGGCGAGGTTGAGAGCTTCAGGAAGACGCAGATTGTGCAGACCGCCATCGCTTCGGTCGGCTTCCTGATGTCTGTTATCGGAATTTGGGGCGACGGTGCCATCCAGGTCTTCCAGACCGAGACTGTCATTGTTGGTGTATAAGATGTGGGATGGGCCACGAAGACAGACGTCTGGTTGTTTGTTCATAGGAGTCATGAGATTGAGAGGCCACGGAACACGATGCCATACTATTACCACTACTACTGCCGCTACTACGGGGAACTGTCGTATTCTTTACATATTTTTTCTCTACCCACCCCGACTAATAAGAGTCGGAAAACATGGCAAAATAGATCATTGGAACCAAATTGACGATAATGATCCCGTCATCACTCTGCATCGTCTAGAGTTCACGAATGAAATTACACAGAGGAATTATGGTTCGCATTTCAGCCCAAGCAGGCCAGGCATGTGATATCCCGTTTGTTTTTTTTATTGCTGGCATTACGTCCCTCTTCGACTAAGACCTGCAGCTTTCTAGTGACTCAAGATTTGAGTCTCTCGCTTCCAGCCATATCGTCCTGAGCATCCTTAATCAGGAACCTATAGGGCTGTCAGTTCTATCTTCCGTCTTCGACCTGGGTTGCATGACTCACCTGTACATCAGTATCGTCGGAGGGATCGTGCCCAGATGCCAGAGGCTGTGCGCGTCAAGAGCGCCCCACAGAGGCGGGAAGTCAAAAAGCTCGAGACTCATGACGGTCACAATGCAAGCCACGACAATACTGGGCCAGATGGCCCACACCCTGCGCGTCTGCCGGTACTTTTTGTAACTGAACCACAACCACAGCAGGTTTTGGATGACCCCGACAACGACGTTGGCGGCCATGTTATACGTGTAATCCCACCGCACACCCTTCAAGTACGCGACGTGCCCCGCGTACAGCACCACGCATAGCAGCGTCCAAGCCCTGAGGACGGACCTGCGGCGCGGGGTCGGGCGATCGAGGCGCATGATGCGTACCACAGTATAGTACAGCCCATACAGCACGTTGGCGCCGGCGGCGAAGTAGTCGAGCTGCTCCGTGGCGGCGAAGTCGCGCGTGTGGAAGATGGCGCTGAAGGTCCACGATGCGACGCCCACGCCGGCGAGCCAGGTATACCACGGCATGAGCGGGTACGAGGCCGGGACGGCGGCGCGGAACTTGCGCAGGCCGTCGTAGTGCGCCCAGAGGTTGCCCAGGCTAAAGATTGTGCTGAAGGGCTCCTGGCAGCCGAGGACGCGGTGGAAGGGCCATTTGCCGTGGAACTGGACGACGCGGTCGCCGGCGGTGACGCGCTTCTTCGTGATTATGTGCTGGCAGGTATAGTCGCATTCGGAGGTACAGGACCAGAGGAGGAGGCGGCGGTGGAGGGCTGGCGGGCGCGGGAGTGTCAGCTCTTGTGTGTCTGGGTTGTGAAGGGGTAATGTAGCAAGGGGTGAACATGAACGTACGGATTGGTGTTGCTTCTTTGTCAGGAGCGCAGTTCTCATTGTGGCAGACCTGGATCGCGGGGAAACGACGGAGAGCATGTCAGTCTATGGAGGTCGGGAAAGCTTGGTTTGGAAGCGTGCGCGCGAGTGTGCATGTGGTGGGCAACCAACTTGGACGCATTCTCTGAACTCTGGCAGACGGTCGCCGTACGAGGCCTCGACTGTTGTCGCGAAGACGAGGGCGGCGAAGAGGACTAGGAACAGAGGAGACTGCAGTCGTCTCCCCGCTCGTGGAAGCTTCATGACGCGAGCATCTATCACTTTCGGTCGTCTTGTGCAGATGTCTTCGTCGGGAGACGGTGTCGCGTGCTGCGGGAAAGGGCGGTCGGAGTTCGAGATGAGGTAAAGCCCAGGTAGGTACGGATGGATGCCTTGAGGGAACGGGACACACGGGTTCGGAGGTCTCGGGCGCTTGCTTGTGTTGCTTCCAGGTTGTCACTGCTTATTGAATGCCTGGTCATAGGTAGCTAGCAGAGAATTCGGGTTTGTGATTGGTCTGACTTTCTGGGGCAATCTACGACGTGGGGTTCAGCTAGTGCAAGGTAATTATCCGATCTCTGTCCAGGAGCTCCTGGCCGAATCTTTCGATGATCTTCACCTCGTATTCGAGACATCTCAAGCATTAGCAGTGCTGATGACGAGCTCTTTGATATTTTACAAAGTTTGGAGATTTCTACTCTGCTTCTGTGAGGGGGCTATTTACAATTATCTCTCTCCGCTTTTCTCTCCGTCCGACTGGGGTTCTGACTCTCGAGAGCTTGGAACAAGCCATGGATCCTCTAAAAGCTGTCTTGCAGTTGCCGTCTCCTCTGGATCCCACGTCAGAGCCCGTCTGAGAAATCTCGCAAACCCTGACGGATCCATAACGTGGTCTCGTGTAAAATATTCAATTGGTGATCGAGGGTTCAGTACTATTCAGGTTCTTTATTTTGGATCATCGTTAGCAACAACAATCAAACATACGAGATATAACGACATGGATCGCGTGACAAGATCGAGCGTTTACCATGTGGCCCCGAAACTCCAGGCTTCTTGCCGCATTTCCAAACAAAACCTTCAGAGATGGTGGACCTAGAAGGTGGATAATCTCTGCTAGGTGTGCAGCATCGTAGTGCGTCTCAGTTACGTGGACATGATTCCTGAGTGGCCTAAAAGGATGCTCGAGCCCGAGCAGATCCCATACCTACACCAGTAGAAAGCCATTAGTCAAAGTAGTATACGAGACACTATCGGTAATTGGGGGTTCCTACCACAAGCCCGACACTCCAGATATCAACCGGGTAGCCCTAGCAGTGATGCATCACTATCTCTGGAGCGCAATAGTTGTCGCGCATGGCGTCGCCCAGCTGTATTTCGCCTGGCTTAGCGTGAGTGAAGTCTAACAGCAGTATTGGAACAGTATCAAACTGAGCAAGGCGAGGAGAATAAAGCGATCGCTTGGACGAGACGGTTGTTCGTGGTACAGAACTCGCCAACTCTGTGTCGGCAACCTCTTGAAAGACCTCTCTGGATCTTTCGTCGACCCCCAGGAAAATACTGTCTGCATGTATGCCTGGATGCGTCATTAGCCTGATGTTTTGATAGTTTGAATAATAATATAGCACCGGCATGGTTGGCAGAGCCTTGTGACGATGACTGAAACCACTCGGCGCCGTGCCCAAAGGCCTTGCAATACTCTTGCCCTCTCATATAAGTACTTGGCACATGCATCACCATGTCGCCCACACTATATTCCATGGGTGGGCACTTACCAGTTTTTAAGATTTCTGCGTCTCTGTGTAGGAAGTCAAGAGCTAACAGAAGCTCACGCGTTGCTGCTTTGACAGTGTCGTCGTGGAACCTACGACGTCCTTTGGGCTTGGCCATGAAGTCCTGAACGTCCTTCAGGTTCAGTTGTGCTGGATCCAGAATAATAACAATGTGACTGCCACATTGGGAAGTGATGGTAGACATGTTCCTAAAAAGCCTTATATGCCTTCGTCCCGGATGTCTGCTCGCAGCCAAACTTGGTCCCTTGAGCATGTAGTGGAGGACTTCGTTGAGTGAATTATTGAGCGATGGTACATTCTTGGCGAATATCTTCAAGGACACAATTCGGATTCGCTTGGAAGATGTCAGAACTTGATACTAGATTCTGATGGAATAGATTCGTACCTTGGATCCCGAGCCAACCATGTTGTTGAGTAGTCGTCGTGCCACTGTAGTGCAACAACTTGATAGCGGTCCAGAACTACTTCTCCGAGACGGATGAGGTAGAACTCATCGATCAGGTAGTACCCATTCTGCCTGATTACTCTGTCATGAAGACGCGGAAACCATGTGTGAGGAAATTCTTAGGCAATGTTGGTTCAGGCCCGTATGTCCAATGAAATTTGTTGAAGGAAATGGCGTGTGTTCGCCATGGTGATAATGATTTTTAGCGCACAGCTTCGCCTGGAAGAGTTGCCATCATGAAAGTACTCTTCCTTGGACATGTAGCTTGCGTTGAGAAACATCTCGTCACGGCAAAGATTCGGCGCAGTGACATGGTGAACTCGAATTGTGCTGGAATCCAAAGTTCAAATCACCGTTGCTATGGGAGGAAGAACCGACGCAAATTTGTAGACGTGAAAATTCTGCCTGAGGAACCTGTGACCAATGACTGATTATGTCTGTCTATGAAGCTTCAATTCGGACATCGAGGTAACAACTTCCGCGTCGCAGCTTGCTTCCAAACCGATAGGCGCCCGTTCGTGACGCCCCTATGAGGGTCTCCACAAGCTCACAATTCCGTGTTCTGCAACCAAAGTAAATTGGAACCAAACCGTGTCAATATAACAAGCATGTTCATGGGTAAGAAGCCAATTCTGAACGTTAACACCAGGAAAAAAGACCTCATAAGCCGCTGATGTACTCGTTTTTCGACAGGTGTGCGGCATTCATGGCGTAGATGCCGACTTCCGCAGACGTCTTTGAAAAGTTCCGCCGATGTAAACTTCTCTCTTTTCTACAGCGTTATACATTGTTACAGGAAGGGAGTGTGAGAGACATAAGTTTGAACACACGCCTAGAAGAAGAAGATGGCTGTTGGGATCAGGAGGACCTCGAACTTTGATTTAATTCTCAAGAAAATCATCTAAAGACTTTGAAAGACTCAATTAAAATGGAATATAAGAGAGAATGTTTTGTTCTAGGGACTTCTGTGAGATTGAGAAGGCACCCAATAAGAGAAAGTTGACGGGCGTGTGGTGGGAGTTCCTAACAAGCCTCAGATGTAATTGAGGAGGCGACCAACGACTTTTTCCCACGTTCCCACGCTTACATTAGCTTCGATTCACCACAAAACTGGATTCAAGATATTTCGTGTTAAGAACGGGCGTGTTTCAAGTCATATTCTCTCCGGCGGTGTATGATCGATCTTGGGCAAGCGACATATCGCAGCTCGACGATGACTTATGCAGCTGAATTCCAATACGAGGCTCCCTATGATTCATCTTTTTATCGTTGATATACCTCGCAGATAAGTGGAGTGACGAACATCAGTTATCTTTTCGAAATCCAGCAGATGGTGCACAGGACGCGCCATGAGGTGCTGACCGCTAAGCTAGAGCATCGCGATACATGTACTTTACTGCATCTCATTAATATCTAATACACAAATACAGATTGCTTGTCTGCCACACGAGCCCTAGCTATCCTTCTAGTCTTATATTGGAAAATAGATGTCTATGGTGCAAGACTGTCGCCAGATCGCGAGCATTGGCTTATATTCATATTGTGAATACCGATCTTTTTACTCACTCCAAGCATCACAGTTGTTTCCGAATTCAATCTTCCGACAGAATGAAGTTCACAAGTTTCACTATTGCTAGGACTTCCATCAGTTATCTCATAACCTCCCTCACTCCCCTTTCCTCCTCAATAGTATAATAACTTCCAAGTTTACAGTGACAATAGAATCTTTTAAGTATTTGCAAATATTCACATAATGAATAAGGCAGGAACTTGAGAAATGGACGGCATTATTCACTCACTTCTGACTTACACCCGAGTAATTCGATAACAAGACTTGCTCGAACATGACCCCGACAACAATGCATGAGTTCCATGACGACGACCGGATATCTACATGGCCTGCTTCTTTGACGTCGCCCGATGTTCTCATGCTTGTATCTCTGCCCCATCTGACGTGATGATACATATCCCCACAATGTCCGAGCCGCGCGGGTGCCCGATGGTGGTGCGGAAAGGACCCACAAGACCCCGAGCGGTTCGGCGGGTTCACGGAAGCTTAGTAATTCGTACTAATCAACATAGAACATCTTAGAGTCGCACGTTCAAGGAACCAGGGACTTCGGTGCCTAGAGTAATGACGGCGTCGATCTGAGGCAAATAAGCCACTGCGCTACATCGGAGTTCGGACGAAGTTTTGCTGAGAATTGGACGACGAGAGAGGAAAGGAAGGAAAACTGGAATTCAGGGTCGTTGTGGTGACGACTTTCAGTGGGCGCGGCCCCCGTTGCAGAAAGTGGGGGTTGTGTTTTTTGGAGGGGTAGACTGCATCTACGATAGCTCCCCAGAGCTGCCGAAGCTTCATACAACATCTCATCTTACAACGCATCTTCATCACACCCTCACCTTCAGGTCCAACTCAATCACCACAACCAATCAATAAGCCATCGTTGTTCAAGAACAAAGCTACAGCCATGTTCACAGGCATCGTCGAAGAAATCGGAGGTCTGCACCCCTCTCAATCCTCTTGACTCACTCGCGCCCCTCACCCTCAACCTCACTCTCACTCAACTAACACGCACACCAGTCGTCTCCGAGCTGAACCCCAACGACGAGACGGGCGGCACCTCGCTCACGATCTCTCTCCCCGCGGTCTCGACCCTGCTCTCGGACTGCCACCTCGGCGACTCCATCGCCATCAACGGCGTCTGCCTGACGGTGACGCAGTTCGAGACCGGGGACCCGGCGCCCCGGTTCAAGGTCGGCGTTGCCCCCGAGACGCTGCGCATCACCAACCTGGGCTCCCTGGAGAAGGACTCGCGCGTCAACCTCGAGCGCGCCGTCCGCGCCGACACCCGCATGGGCGGCCACTTCGTCCAGGGCCACGTCGACACCACCGCTGCCATCCTCGCCGTGACCCCGGACGGCAACGCGCTGACGTTCCGCTTCGCGCCGCGCGATGTTGCCGTGCTGCGCTACATCGTCTACAAGGGCTACGTGGCGCTCGATGGCACTAGCTTGACCGTAACCAAGGTGAATGACGAGGAGGGTTGGTGGGAGGTCATGCTTATTAGCTACACCCAGGAGAAGGTCGTTGTCGCCGGCAAGAAGCCTGGCGAGACTGTGAATGTTGAGGTCGATATGATGGCCAAGTACGCCGAGAAGAGCTTGGCGGGCTACTTGAGCGGCTCTGGAGGTGTTCCGTTGGAGAAGATGGTGGAGCGTATCGTGGCCGAGGGTTTGGGAGGAAAGTCTTGAGCGTTGGGTATTATTCATCTGATTCATTTTCTGAGCTATTTGCCTGAGCTAGTTTTGCAGTAGCCATAACATGTTCGAGTTATACAAGATACTTTGTGCCATCGCAAGAGATGAATTTCTTCATGCGTCGCCCCAAACTTCCGCTAGTCGCTGGCTGACGGCTTTGGGGATCTTCTTTCGACCAACGAGGTTGGGCAGTCCACTTATGACCATCTCGCGTTTCCTCTTGGTTCCCTGCTCGCCCGAGCCACACTCTTCGAACGCCTTGATGAAATCATGAGGCGTTTTCCATCGTTTCTGTATCTCCAATGCCTTCTCTCCTGTGATGCCTCTTGTTGTCATGAGCATCTTCAGATAAATATCTCGTAAAGTCATCATGTCTGACTTGGATGCCAGCGACGCAAAGGCTGGGTATGTGATGTAGTAGCCCGACGAAGGTTCCTTCTCTCTGAGATGCTTCAGGAGTGGCAGGTAGTTTTGTGCCGTCAAGACCGTAGTCGGGATCACCAACAATGCCTTGCGCTCGTACATCTTCTTCAGCATGAAAGTCATCCTAGCCAGGTACCGGATCGTGTCGTCCACCTTTTGTGTCTTCTTAAGAAAGTAGCCATTAACCACTTGGGTCGACGCGATAGACGACTGGACCATCTCCTCCACCTTCTGAAAATAACCCGAGTCCATGGAGATCTCTTCAACAATGTAGATGACGTTCTTGACACCTGACTTTCGAAGGCGGAATTTCTGCTCGTGGAATCGGCCGTCTTTGACACTGCCGACCAAGTCATCAAGTCGTTTGCGCTCAACAATCCAATCGAGTACGACTTCGTCTCCTTCTCCGCCATGGCGAGATAGAGCGGCCGGGTCGTTGCATTTGGCAATCCATTGGGCGTCTCCGATCTCCAATGCTCGCACTATTGGCTTCACGCCCTTCTTCGTCAATTCGTCTTGTATGTAGTCTCTGTCCTTCAGTGCTCGGACTTCGCGGTTGTCTAGAGCGAGATGCACTGTGAAAGATCCTGGCGGCAAGCGGATCGGTGTGAATTTTGGAAGCGAGGAATTATCCGAGACCTCTGGGCCATTTGCAACGACACTTTCGTAGACCGAAGTGGGTTTTGGCTGCTCCACCGGTTCAACGGAAAGAGATGCTTCTCTATCGACCGGATCCGGCCTTGCATGCTCTGCTCGGGAGCTTGGTCCTGCTACGACGTCATCGGCTTCACCACTTGGCTCAGTCGTCTTTTTGATACGCTTTGCGACCTCCCAGCCATCGTCGGTAAGAGAGTATCGTCTCTGAGGGCGTCCCTTCTCGCATACAAGATCTTTATCAACCAGCGTTTTCATTGAATTCCACGCCGTATAAAACTTGGTGGGATCGCTCGGCGCCGTGAAGGACGAGTCGCAGTTCTCTTGCGCAAGCTCAATGAGTTTTGGTTTGGTCATTCCGAGAGATGTCTCTTCATCGAGAGTGGCGAGGGCCAAGATAAGAGCGTAAGGACCGGATCGGTACGTCGGAACGTACGGCTTTGCTTTTCGTGCCTTCTTGGGAGGAGGAGCGGGCTCATCGTCGTCATCAGCTCCTCCGAGAGATGCGCGGTCTTCTTTGGACAACCTGGGATTCTTAGGCATAGGCAGGCCGTTGGTCTCGCAGTGTTCTTTCAGCTTGTCCGTGAGGCGGGAAGAAAGTTTGTCTCCGAAGCCCTTCAGTTGGACTAACTGACGAGGGTGCTTGAAGGTAATGGGGCATGCTTTGAGTGATTCGTACGCATTTCTGTATGTCGTTACACTTTTCATGCCTCGTTCCCTCGCAGTGTCCAGCCACTCCTTGACCCAGTCGAGGAGCAGGGGATTGGCGTATTGCTCGTGTTCGCCGGCCATTGTGCTGACGTGATGGAGGAGTGCTGATTTGTTCCTGGCGGGTCATCACCGAATGCCGTCTGTCTGCAGCATTTTCGGGATTGAGGAATGCGATATGCTTTCCGAATGCAATTCTGAGTCTGGAATGGATGCACAACGACTCGGTTGTCGGGAAGAGCAAGAAAAGAAGGCCGAGGGTGAAGGCGACGACAATGACAATGAATGACGCGACGCGGCCGGGCGCAAACTCGAGACAAGTTAGATTGAGGTCGCGAAGGCACGTGACCTCCGTCGTATACGGCCCCCCTGTGCGCGGGCCTTTGGCTGGTCTGAGTGCCCTAGATGAGGGGCTAATAGAGGGGCTCTCCTTCCAGTTGCGGTGTGCCGCTGCCCGCATTCATCAGTGTCTGAGCTGACTTGCATGATTGCATCACGGTCAATAAGTGTCAGCTGGCGGGACCCGCTTGTTGGAGCTCAACAATGGAATGAATGGACTGAAAGATACCTGATGGCGGGGAGCTGAAGGAGCCACTGCTGAGGTGAGGAGTGACCGCGTGGGAAGCAGGAGGCAGTAAGGTACGTAAGGTAAGGTAGGCAAGGAGGGGTCCTGTGGAGGGAACTAGAAGGTCTCAAAAAGAGGACGCTCGAATGGCGGCCTCCCCGTCAAGCCAGCGACCGTAATAATCTGGCCACCGTCATTTCTGTCGTCGTTTCTGCCTCTGTCGTCGTCGTCTCTTTCTCCACTGTTTCTCGTCACCATCCCCAGAGTATTCACCCTCGCTGTATTCTCTCCATCGTCAATCCTACCGCCATGGACGACAAGATCATCGCCGCTTCGCAGAAGCACCCCATTGTGCCCGGTCACGTCGGTACTTTTAAGTATGGCACTGCGGGGTTTCGAATGAAGGCCGACCTCTTGGACGGAGTTACCTTCCGTGTCGGTCTCTTGTCTGGCCTGCGCAGCCGCAAGCTCAGCGGCCAGGCGATTGGTGTCATGATCACGGCCAGCCACAACCCTGCCCCAGACAATGGAGTCAAGATTGTTGACCCTATGGGTGATATGCTCGAGCAGGAGTGGGAGGCATACGCCACCAAGCTCGTCAACAGCTCCTCTGACCAGGAGCTCGTCGAGAACTACAAGGCACTGGCCTCCCAGCTGCGCATCGACCTCTCAGCTCCGGCCCGCGTCGTTTACGGTCGGGACACCCGTCCCTCCGGCCACAAGCTCGTCGCTGCCCTTGCCGACTCCTTCGAGGCCACCAACGTCGAGTACACCGACTACAAGATCCTCACCACTCCTCAGCTCCACTACCTCACCCGCTGCGTCAACACCGAGGGTACGCCCCTCTCGTACGGCGAAGTGAGCGAGACCGGCTACTACAAGAAGTTTGCCGATGCTTTCGTCAAGGCCCTGAAGGGTCGCAAGGTCGACGGTCAATTGACCGTCGACTGCTCCAATGGTGTTGGCGGCCCCAAGCTCGTCGAGTTCCTGAAGCACGTTCCTAAGGACGTCACTGGCTTCGACGTCAAGGTCGTCAACGACGATGTCCTCCGCCCAGAGGTCCTCAACCTCGACGTGAGTGCTCCCATACTCCAACAGCCACTCTAACTAACATCCTCAGTGCGGAGCAGACTTCGTCAAGACCAAGCAGCGTGCACCCGCTTCCCCCAAGCCCGTCCCCGGCGCCCGTTACTGCTCCTTCGATGGCGACGCCGACCGCCTGATCTACTACTACACCGACCCTGATACCGGATTCTTCATGCTGGACGGCGACCGGATATCTACGCTGGCTGCTTCTTTCATCGGCGACCTCGTCCGAGGCGCTGGTCTGGAGCGCGATCTCAACATCGGCGTTGTGCAGACCGCCTACGCCAACGGTGCTAGCACCAACTACATCGAGAAGCACCTCGGACTGCCCGTTGTGTGCACTCCTACTGGTGTCAAGCACTTGCACCATGCTGCTCTCAAGTTTGACATTGGCCCCTACTTCGAGGCTAATGGACACGGTACTGTGGTGTTCAGCCAAGAGGCTATGCGCGCCTTCCGCGAGACCAAGCCCCAGTCGCCCGCTCAGAAGGACGCTCTCGAGACCCTTGCCGCTGTGGGCGACCTTATCAACCAGACAGTCGGTGACGCCCTTTCCGATATGCTGATGGTCGAGGTGATCCTTGCCCACAAGGGCTGGACTCTCAAGGACTGGGCATCTACTTACTCGGACCTTCCCAACCGCCTCGTCCGCGTCGAGGTCGGCAACAAGGACGCTTTCCAGACCACCGACGCCGAGCGTCGCCTCAGCCACCCCGAGGGCGCCCAGGACGAGATTGATGGGTGCGTTAGGAAGTACACCAGTGGTCGTTCTTTCGCCCGCGCCAGCGGCACGGAGAATGCCTGTCGTGTGTATGCTGAGGCGGCGACCCGTTCCGAGGCTGATGAGCTCGCCAACAAGGTCGCAGGCATCGTGAGGCAGTACGGTGGCTTGTAGGCGAGGCAAACCGAGATGTCGCGCGGAGTGAGGATCATCAATTATAACGGTCTGCAATATGTTTAGGCAGGGGTTCTAAAAGCCAGATTTGGTCGAGACTCAAGAAGAGCTCATAAAAGTCAACAAAAGAGACATTTGATATCTATAGCTACCTACAGCTGCAACTGTCGGTGTTACCAGTGCTGTTGTTGTTGCTATTGCCGTCGTCCGTCAGCATCGTGTGTTACTGTTGTTGATTGTTGTCGTCTATGACTGTCATCTGTCACCGTCGTCCCCCATCGTCGTTCGCCATTGACATCCCTCACCGTCGTCATCCCTTACCGTCGTCGTCTCTCACCGTCGTTCGTCGTTGTCGCCGTCCCTCTGTAGCATCCATTGTCACTAACCTTGTTATCGTTGCTATCATCGTTGTTCACCACAGTCGTCCTCTCCCGTCCTCCGCCGTCCTCGTTCCTTGCCATTTCCGCCCTCGTCGCTATTCTTGTTGCCATCGTTTATCGTCGACGTTCCCGTCATCGTCGTTCATCACCTCGTTATGTTGTGTGTCCTCTCTCGTCCATAACTCTACTAATTCTGTTCTTCATTATTCAACGCACGAGCTACAAGTGAGAGACATCAACCTGCTGGGAGGCGCCATAAGATACCAATGATCATAGACCAGGGATCCCGCGTGGTATGGGGGCTTTCGCTTTGTTCAAGAACAAAAGCTTTGCAGAGCAGCAATATTATATGACGGTGAACACGATACCTTGCGGGAGCTCTCTTACCACTAGGACTCTGATGCAGTGACCGGACACTTCCAACGAGACCGGCGGCTCCAAAATGTACCCTATGGCGTGAGGATGCCGGACATTATCCTAAAGTTGGCGACTAAAGTAAGACGCCCTGTCAACGACGATACCTCTATCCTACCTGGTAACAGACTGACAGTAGAACAGTCCAGCATGGCCCGCTCAGTTGTGTGGAGTGACCAGACTTCGACTATAACTGACATTATCTCCAACCATGCTATACGCCGAAACGACTTGATGCGGTAAAACAAAGCCGACACTGAAATTCCCAGGCCATCGAGAATCAGTGGCACGCTTTCGCGGAATGTTGAGTCGGGAAGTGAGATGTCGCAATCCCGTCGGGGGATCTCCCTGTTTCCACCGCCCGTGCCGGGTCTGACAAGAGCTTCTTTGCGGCCCGTCCGAAGGAAGGTGTGGCACACTTATCCGATCACCCGGGGCCACGTCGATCCGTCCATTCTGCTGAGTCGAGCAAACTGTGCTCATCGTTGGGGCTGGCTACGACGACTTCTAGAAGGCCAGCCGCTGGAACGACCCCGTCTTCTACAGACCCGGGAATGTACGGCAGCTAACATACTTCTTGATTTAGCCGTCCATGCAAAGTTTCGCGGCCAAATCCGAGAGACGGGGAAGTGGAGTGTGTAGTTCATATCGTCAATTCTTCTCTATCATACAGAACCCCCGCCTTATGTAGACGGAGTTCCCGCCCCTTTCGTCGAAGACCACAATCCTTCGACTTCTTGAATACATCCACCAATACTTTTTTGCTTTTTATACAATAGTCTCGCCCAAGCAAGCGAACCCAGAGCCTGCCCGTGACGGGACTGGCCAAGAGCCAGCAAACAAAGAGGAAAACCAAAACTAGATAATACATTAAGCAAACACTTTCGGTGCTTGTCCGCCCAGTAAGTATATATGGGGTATAGGGAATCTGCAGTCTGGCAGATAGACAAAAAATCATGTACTGTAGTTGTTCGGCCGTCAATGGTAGTCTGCTGTTGTGGTCCCAAAGACCAATCTGTGGGGAACAAAGTGGCAGTGCTGCCTTCCCAGGGATGATGCTCCGGATGTCCAAAATAAAAACCGAGAAAAAAAGCTGATCGCGTGCGCCCTTCGCTTTCCCAATGCATGGTTCGCCGGCTTTCGATATACCAGCGTTGCCACCGAAATGGTGGCCTGTACTTCAAAATTGCAGTGTGAAGTTGGTAGAGAATTGTGTGAGGGCCTTTTGTTGTTTAGGGACCGACCTGGCCCAGGTGCTCAGTCTGAAACGAGGCGCGCCGCATACTGGTGACGGGTATACAAGCTGTCTTATGCCGTGGCACAAACCCCTATTCGGCCAGGCGACTTCGCTGGTTTAAATCGTTAGACGTTGCCGCTGAGCGATTTGAACCGGTCTTCGAAGGACTTCATCTTCTCCTTCTCCAGCTCTTGCTGAATGCGCCGAGTTTCGCGCCTCGCGGCCTCGCGCTCTTCCTGCAAGGTCAAGACCTCGATTTGCGCCGAACTCATACGAGCAATGACATCTTGCATCTCCGAATCGGCGTTCGTCAGTGCCGTCTCCAGTTCCACGACCTTGACGCGCAACCTCTCAATTTGGGTCTCATCTTCGACAGACTTAGGCGGGAGTCGAGGCGAGCGAGGGAACAGCGGCGACGGCATCGGGCTGAGGCCGGACTTGCGAGATGACCGCAGTCCATTTCCGACAGGGGACGGGGTCATCCGGCGCAGCTGTGTGTTCTGTGCGTCCTTGAGCTCCCTAAGTTGCTCCTCATGTCGCATCACACGTTCCTCAGACGCAACTTGAGCAGCCTGCAGTTGCTCCTCAAGGTTCTTGAGACGGCTTTGCAGACGCGTGATGCGGTCTGCGTTGGCCTTGCGATCCGCGTCTCCGCGAGCGACCGCCTCAGCCAGACGCTGGCGCAAGTCTGTGTTCAAGGAGAGCTGCTTCTGGACTTGTGCCGCGAGTTCTTCAACACGCTGGGCAGAGCTGCGAAGCTCGTCTGCAAGTGCACGCTCGCTCTCGAGATGGGCAACTTCGCTGCTGGCAAGGCTTTCCAGCTGATCCTTGTATGCCGATGCTTCCTCCTTTGCCGCGTCACGTTCGAAGACGGCAGATGAAAGAGACTGCTCGAGTCGCTGCATGGCAAGTTGCGTGGACTCGTCCTGCCCAAGAATGGGCCCATGAGCCTCAAGTTCCTTAATCTTGTCGAGAGATTCCTTGTATGCAAGCTGCAGGTCCTTGAACGCCGCTTCCAGGGAATCGGATGTGACAGGCACAGTCAGTGCCGAGCGGCGGTCGACGCTTGACCGGGCCATCGACGGCGGGATGAGAATGTCCTGCTCCTTCAATAAGCCGCGAAGGGCAGCAACTTCCTCTTCGGCACGGTCGAGATCCATCTTAAGGCCAGCGAGACCCTTTTCGACTTGCCACTTCTGTTCCGATGCCTCCTCAGCTCGACGACGAAGGACGTTAATCTCGACGCGAAGATTGGAGATGTCCTTCTCGAACCCAGCGTTTCGGGGAGATGAGGCCATGAGACGGTCTCGTTCCACTTCCAAACCCTTGATTTTCTTGTCGTTCTCTCGGTTCTGGAACTCTTGTCTGTCGAGGAGACTCTTCAGGGCGTTATGAAGCGCGTCTCGTTGAGCCTCGACGTCCTTGAGACGTTCAGAGAGCTGCTCACGGGACTCCGTCACACCAGACTTAACAGTGTTCGACCGCGTGAGACCCATGGGGGCTTTCTGCAAGACGAAGGGGGAAGCAGCGGTAACGGAACTGGACCTCGACAATCGAGGTGCGGAACGCATGGTGGAACTTCGGGAACGCGTGTCTGCTTGGGGGGGTTGGCCAGAAGCCTTGAGCGTTTTATTTTCCTGCTTCAAGGCCTCCAGTTCTTGTTGCATCTTGGAGGATTCGTAGGTCAGGTTGGCGTATTCGGATGCCTCAGCTTCGAGGCCCTCGAGCTTCGCCTTGAGTTGAGGCACAATCTCATCGCGGAGGTTGTCACGCTCATTAGTGGCGCTCTGGAGTTCGACCTTCAAGACGGAGAGAAGGTCTTCGAAGTTAGACTTGACCTGGATCTCTTCGCCGAGTCTGCGTCGCAGGTCCTCGCATGTGTGTTCCAGGTCCTTGAGACGGTTGTTCGTGTCTTCGCTATTGATCTGTGCAATGTCGACTTGTGACGCTTTCTCGGCAAGTTCCTTGATTTGCTGGTCCAACTCGCCTCTCCTCGTTCGTTCTTCTTGCAACTTAGTCGTCAGCTCAAGGCGCATGGAGGCTTTGTCTTGCTCGGCGCGCCGCTGGATCTTCTCGATTTCCTCCTTGTTCTGATCATACTCGCTGAACTTGGCGGAGCTGTAGCCCGAGTCGGAAAAGTAATCACTGGTTCTCTTGCCAGGAGCTTGGGGATTGTTAATCTCGGACTGCAGTCTGTCGACCAAGTCTTCGAGGTCCATTTCTCGTCGAATGGACGAGGCCAGCTCGGCGCTGATGGCCTTCAGCTCGTCCTCCATCTCCTCGATTTGTATCGATGGGGCTAGGGAGGAAGACGGTGGGGTGTGCAGGTGTGATTCGCAGTAGCCAAGAGCGTTGATTGGTGTGGCATTCCTTTTTGTTGGTTCTGGCAGCAGAGACGGTACTCCGGTGGTGAGTGGAGTGTCATCTGTCAGCGTGGCACGTCGTGGGGATGCGAAAGGTGATGAGAGCGACGAGAACTCTGTCGTCGAAGGAGACGGTGATCCTCCCCAGCCAAAGAAATTGGCAAGCTTGGAAGAACCCGGTGACTTGGGTAGAGGCTTGTTGAGCGACGGTGTCGGCGTCGTTGACGTTGTAGGAGTCAGGGACAGCGGAGCTTCTAATACAGTAGTGACTGTTTGCGATGAATCCTTTCGGTTCTGCGATAAGTTCAGATGAGGAGGAGTAGGTTTGGTAGCGGGTATGGACATGATAGAGTTCTCATTAGTGTTGTGACTGTAAGTTGACTCGGAATCTTCGTCCGTGTCCTCCTCCTCTTCAATGATCGGCTGAGGAGTCGCTTTCGGCAACTTCGGGGAGAAGGTTGAGGTGACGTCTGCGGTCAGGTAGGCAGGTTCTGACAGGCCGTCTGAAGGTTTTGTTTGAGCAGCTGCAAGGGTGGTGCTTGGGATGTTTCGTGAGACAGAGTGAGCCGCGTCGTCTGCCGCGTCGGTAGGTGGGGGACTGCTTGCGGAAAGACAATGTCTGTTAGCCAGAGCTTTACGAAGGTTGCTTCCAGGCAGGCGAGGACCCGGCAGCAAGGTCAAAATGTTGGACGAAAGCCATTGGAGGGTTCGGACTCACAGGATGTCAAGCTTCTGGTGAGCAGCAGGCGGTGCGAACAGAGGTCGGACGTTGTCGGAGTACTTGTCGGGATACTCGTAGAGAGTAGGACTGTCGACGGAATAGGACCTCGAGAAGCGCGTGTCAGGCATGGGCAAGTCCCCGGGTGACAGGACGGATGGTGAACTAGAACCAGAGGCGTAACTGGCAGCTATTTGGGAGGCGGTAGAAGATAGAGGCTTGCGCTTGATGGGCTTGGCGGGATAGAAAGTCGGGGTTACGACAGGAAGGGTCTGCGATCTGGTGCGTCCTGGTGAGGGCGAGGTCGAGGTTGCAGCGTGGTGGGAATCGCGGTAGGGTGGACGGCCCCTAGAGACATCAGATGAAGCGTTGAGAGTCTCAGAATATGGAGGGTCTCCCACGACAGGCCTCTGGCGTTCGAGCGAAAGGTCGAGATGAGCGGGACGGGGATGGGGATCGCGTTGAGCCATGGCTTCGGTCGAGATCTGAGCGGCGGTGGCTGTCTCTATGAGTCGGTCTTATCTCACAGGGAGAAGTTGGAACCATGGACTGAAAGGGTGAGATATTCTCTGAACCAAGATTAAGGTGACGGTCCATATCGATTGGAAAAAAGAGCGACACAAAAAGAGGAAATGGGAGGTATCCGTAGCGTCGGGGGGTTAATTGAGGAGCAGAGGATGGAAGAGGCCGTAGGGTGGGATTGGCGACGGCGACTGGTCGAAAAGGGGCCATGTTCGCGCGCAAAGACCCTTGGAGATGGAGTGGAGAGTGTGAAAGAGTGGAGGGAGTTGGAGTTGCAAGCGCTACTCCTCCTCTGAAGTGCTTTGGCGCCATTTCCCGTTTAGGCGCTTGGGTGTGGTTCCCCCAAGCAACCCCGGGCCACTGGCGATGCGCCTGTACCAGACATCCATGATACGATGCGTGCCGGGGCCGAAACGAAGCAGGAAGCGCGATATGTCGCCGGTCTTGTGCGGTTGATCAGGATCTGCTGGATGACACACAAAGATATTCATCAACGGAGACGGTGAGTATCCGTCGGGAGGGGGCCGACGGGAAGAATGTGACTGGTCGCCAAAAGACTAAGGGCGTTATTCCCAAGAGTACGGTTAATCATCAAGAGTTTAGACTCTAAAGTGCTTGCACATACAAACAACATGCCCAGGCACAATTTTCCAGAAAGAAAGGCCCAGCCACGACATCCAAACGCAATGAGCAGCAGGGAGCCCGTTGGTACCTTGCACTAGCGTTCCCTGCTGGCTGCTGGCGGCAGGGGTGAGACAACCGTTTTTCGACGAATTCGAACTGGTGCAATTTTAGCGTATGGAGAAGGAAATATCCAATCAGAACCTGTTTTAGCGTGCCAGTCTTTGGCGTTCTCCCCTCGTCCATGCATCCCGCCGAGCGCCTACCCTGCACCTCCTGCTTTCGACCATGATAGCCTCTCGCCTTGCACTTGCACTTGCCTTGCACCTGCTTGCTGCCATCTGCAGTCTGCACAGTAAGCACAGCTGTCACTTCCGAGGACCGTCCCTACCTGCCCTCCGTGTGCCTTCCATTGGAATACTTCACCTTCCTTACCTATAGCACCAGGCCTTCCATGCATCGTAGCATTCCACGCCTTCCCGCCTGTGCGAGAAACTTTTTTTGTCTGTCCGCCGTACCTTTCGTTCTGCATGCATGCATTACGCAGTATTATCAACTCTGACCAAGATGTGATGAAGCCATCTTACCAATATCATGCATCCATCCAGCTCAGCGCTTCCAACTTCACCCTCGCCTCTCCCGCAGCCACCACCATTCCCCCGCGGACGCCCGATCCTGATCCTGATGCTGCTGTCACGCCCATCACCTGCCAAAAAACCACATGTCGTCCCGGCGCCGCTGCTATCTTTGTCCACTCGTCCTGTGTTTCGTTCCGCTATCCCGATACAAAGACAAGAAAGCCAAATACCGACACCGATATCAACAAGGAAACTTAGCCTTCCCGCCTCAAACGCCGGCAAAGAACCCGAACTCACTCTCAGCTTGCCACTGCCGATGCCGCTCCGAATAAACAAAAAGAAAACGACCTGACCCGACCTGACCTTACTTGGTCTTGGCTTTTTCTGCCAATGTTTCGTGCGTGTCGTCGAAACGTTGAAACCATCAGACGCCATGACATGACAGCTGGGAGCCTCCTCGTCACTCCCGTCACTGTCACTGTCATTGCCCTTGCCTTGTCAATCCTGCCAGCCTCATCTCCGCCCTGCGATGTGAGCTTGCTGCTTGACTGACTCCTAGTCCTTCTGACTTCACCCCGGCGAGCCTCATCTGGTTTCTTAAAGACTGCGCGGGACTTCCCTCCTTCGAAAGTTTAACCTGTTCCTGGCATTGCATGTCACCTCCATCCCCAGCAGGGAATCGGCATCGACAGACATCAATGCTTGAGCTGTCGACTTAATGCTTTCCAAACCCGGAATGGCCATCGAGTTTGGGTTCCCGTCAAAAGTCAACGTCGGCAGTCGCTTGCTTCACTCCTACTCGACCCAACCCAGCAACTGCTTCGCAGCTCTCGATGCACAGACGCGCTCACCGATTCGTTCGAACACATGCTATCCGTACGCTGAGCCACCAAGCTTGCTTTTAGTGTTCCGGGTACAAACTGTCTGTCTACAGAATTTGCCTCCAAACTCTGGCCAAACAATCGGGTCGCAACGTCAACGCATCTGTTGCCCAAATAACACGCAACAGCTCGTCCTTCTCATCGCAGGCCCGAGCTGGCAAAATGGCTTTCGCCTCGCAATATCGCCAAGAAATTTGTCGCGACTAATCACGAGAGCGAGACGCCCGCACGTTCAGCCGTTACACATTCTATCTACCTCGACGGAATCGTCCAACCGGCGACCAAGTTGGTTTCTACTGTTTCGCGCCCTCGACAAAAAGCAATGGAACTCTGAGTTCGGCGCCAGATACCTGGAGCAGCGATTGGCTCCCGTGCTGTCCCCAAGATCTCCTAAAGATTCCACGCGACAAGCCCCCGCGAATTGTATCCGTACGGAGTATCCGTAGATACATCGTGATTGGGGTTTGCGCCCAAATTCTCCCCTGAAGCCGCTTGTGGTCGCAATCTCTCCATTGGCCGCCAGGTCAGGAACCATTCCGTCCGAAAGAGGCATAGCGCCAGGGACGACATCTTGAGGTGTGCCCACCCCTGGCCAGAATCATGTCGATTCGTACTTCCTAGGGTACGCACCCGAAGATCATTTGCTCTTTGGATGAGAACATGGGGGCCATCACAATGGTACCTCCCACCGGCCAAGACGTACTTGCCGACGGCCGTGAAGTTGCTCGTCGTCGCGAATCACGCGCTTTGTTGCAAATCGACAGATCGGACAATCACTGGAGCTATCATGGTGTTCGTCATCATCGCAGCCGAGAGACTCTCCTCGCAATGTCAAAACATAGGCACCTGACGAGAAACAGGTGGTCAGCGTTCCCCTGTCTGCCGTATCTGACAGATGTGCACATCAGCCCGATGCGGATGAATCTGCACTGAACAGCAAGGGGCGTTAATTACCATCTCCGCGATGGATGGATGAGAACGGATGCCAGGTCGCCGTTGATCTTTGGCAGTCTTCTTCATCCATGCGGGATGCCAGGCAATGATCAACGAGGCGATGCCAGAACCCTGCTGGCGTCATTTGGCGCGGCTCTGGCGGGGTTTTCTACAATGAATTCAATTTCGACCCGCGCGTATTGTCGACCGATGAAGTCCTGCTGACCACGACCATGCTAGCGTTTATTATTTTCGGACGCCATGCCTCATGGAACTCCTGGTCTTGAAGCTCCTGCAATGGTGCCGTGAGCGTTCAGCTCATCAAGATGCCAAATGAGTGCGCATAGTAAGCTCCTGGCCTGTGTCATCTACCAATATTGCAGTGGGCAGCACCGCCTCGCGGGACCTCTTGATCGGAAATAACTTTAACTCGCCTGTCCGGAAGCCTCGTCCGGAATAGGAACGGACAACTTGAGGCAACCAACGTCCCTCCGTACTCGTTTCTCAGAGCCAGGTCGTGATTTACGAATTCTCGAGCCCCAGGATGCACTCAGCTCGTAATACTTCGTCGTCGACGCCCTCGGCAAGTGGGGTCTCCAGATCCGGCGGTCGCCGTTCTTGTCTTCGGCGACATGTCGAAGCGTGATCACGAGGCATATGTAGCTCGTGTCGGAGGACGCGACGAGGCCATCCAAACACTCATGGAACGAGCGCTTGGTCGTTGTTGATAGGTCCTCGATAGCACCAGCTACGCCCCGGCGGACTCGGAGCTCCGCACACAACCCAACTTGAATATCGCAAACTCAATTCACGTTCCGAACGAATTTTCAACGAATCCGACAGCAGACCTCCTCTGGCTCTGGGTCTTGCGGGGCCATTGGTTGTATGCTGCTCGAGTCATCACTGAACCGCGAAGCATCGCTTGCCGTCGAGATAGAGGCATGGCAAGTCGAGCGAGCGATCTGTTCGACTTGAGACCTGATCGTTCTCGTTTCTGTCTCAAACGCAGACCTGCGTCCCAGTATCCGCACTTCGTCTCGAATCTCTTCACATACTGACCAACTAAAAGTTGGTCTATCCATGGAACCACGAACATTCGCAGCTGAGTGCGCAACCCTCTTCTTTTGCATCCCGACTTTTCTTCTTGACGAACAAACCGAATAGACTCGTTATCTTTTCGGTCAATACCCTGTACCGGTCAGAAAAGAGGGTTCGCACACAGCGCAGCCTCACAGGAAGTCCTTCCTCGTGCTTTCGTCGATGGGAAGCAAATTCTCCGACACAAGTGCCCCAATCGGCTCGTAGACAAACATGACAACAACTTCGACGTTGCGTCTCCAACCAGAGAATTGGTATATTCGACAACGACGAGACCAGCGATACAAATGCAAGTTCACGTCAATGTCGATTCTCATTTGAAGACTTTTCGCTTTCTTTTGTCTTTACTAGAACGGTGATGCCCACCTGTGGTGCGGAGTTCAATTGAAGTCATGCGGAAGTCCCACACTTCAAGCGTTGTGTTGTTTCTAAACATAGCCCTTCGCAACTTGGGGTCCGAGTTGGACAACTCTGCCGTATTGTGCGGGCAATGATATGATCGTGGAGTCTTCTCTTCAAGTTGATGAGTAGTCTGATCTGCAATAGCGCGACTGTCGCCTCTATTTTTAAAGAACCCGGCACCGTGCATGGTTTAGTCGACTTCAGCCAGCCTCCGGGATTTGGCCATGATAACGGTTGAAGCTTGCTGTGGTATCGCATGTTCGGCGGCGCGCTAGTCAGCAATCGCATACAGAACAATGGATATTCTTCAAAGTTTTTCCTGATTTTTATTGTCGCTGCCTGAGCCGGTGCCGGGTTTTCGGGGGCTGTTAGGGCTCTAAAACTGAATACGAGGTTGTTGTGGGAGACCCTGGACGGTGGCTGGTAACCGCACACGAGGTCTTTAGCTGGAATAGCTTCACCCACGTCACATTTCCCCGTGTCGGAGTGAATCATGATGCGATTCGGGCTTGGCCGCCGCTGATGGCGTTGGCGCTATTGTCTCGTTCACCGACAAGTCGGGGTTCAACATGAGGTTGCAGAAGGCATGAAGACGACATGAAGCGGGGTGAGCTGGATGATTGCCAACCCGCCGTCTCCCTCACCCGACGATCACGGCGTGTCAGAGAATGTATTTGGCGCGCGGATATTACCTATCAAGTGATGGCGCTTTGCGACTCTGAAAGATTATCGAGCAAAAGGCGGATCGGCCGTTGAAACGAACCGAGAACCGTTGCTTCATAAGGCTGAGCTGGTGAAGCTGACACGGCGTTTCTAAACTGCTTACAAGATGCTTGGGTGAAAGTAACCAGGGGATTACGCATGTGACGCAATAGGGTCCAGATGGGGAATACCGGGGGAGAGAAGAGGCATGCCAGACCTCGTGTCTGCAGACGGGGGTCGGATCAGCAGTCTGTCCTCTCGTTCGTCCGCTCGTTTGCTCAAAGGCATGGGAGTGCCTGGATTGGTACTGGCTTCGGAGCAAAGCGGTGGTGGTGGTTGCATATGCCTTTAGGCAAAGCCTATGCAGATAAGCCAACCTGTTTTCATGGCGCAAAGAAGACGACCAGTTCACACTTACGAGGTGAGTTGTCCTCTCAGAGGCGTCGACTTGGAATAATACCCTATTTGGAAGCCAGTCTTAACACGGCTCTTAGCACTGACTTGACTCTATACCGTAGAGAAGCCGTTGGCTGGAGCGCACACACACCGCGAACTCGATGCCGGCCATGACGATGGAAACGATGCACGACAACTCAAATTCAGCTGCATGCCCCATTAGACAAGATCTTGCCTCCTGGTCCCAAGCCCGGCCTAGCTGACACACCACCCCCCAAAGGGCCCGCCATCTTGGGGTGGGAACCCGAGGATCAGGGCAACTTTTCACGCACGACACACGTCTTGTTCGTTGGTACTGTGATTTCACAATCGTTTTGCTCCGAGTCTCTGTATTCTTCTACATCTTGTCCTCCCCGGAGGCCGATATTCTCACCTTCATCACTCACTTACGAACGCTTACTCACGGCCGGTGTTCGATGACCTAACCGTCAAGGCCAACACCCTCGATGGTGGCTTTCTGAACAGCTGCTTACTCCATTTCTGGATTGGGCCACAATCGTTTCTTCTCGATTCATCCAGCGCCTCTTTCGTGTGGCTCGTGTGAGCTAGCGAGCTCGTGAGGTCGGGTAGAGCATACCACGGAGGCCGCATCTCCCCCCAAAGCCAAAGCCAACGCCATCCCACCCACATATAAGGAGGGGTGCCGGCAGTAGGCTTTGCGGCACACCTCTCCGGATCTTTTCAATATGTCCAGCAAGTATTTCCAGAGTACCGCCCGAATCAAAAGACAAGAGAAGACTCGGGGCGATCGCGACCAACAGACAAAACTCAAGACGCGGAAGCCCGTCGCCCGTTGCGGAGTTCCACCGACGCCAAAAGCGGAGAGCCGCAACCGCTTCCGTTACCGCTCCCGCTACCGCTCCGGACCGGCGCGCAACCACTCATCTCCGTTCGCACGGCACCGAGGATCCCCATTGGCGCGCGCAAACTAGCTGATCCGTCTGGTTGTGAATTGTTAGCGACCAGGACGAGAGCCCAGCCGCGACAGTGGGAGAGAGACATCGAGAAAGACATTGTACGCGGTGGAGTACCGCCGTGAAACCTGCCGATTTGTTTTCTCGTTGATCTTCTAGCTGGATCGCATTAGCTTGGGTTTGGGTCATCCCAACACCGCGAAATCACCGACGCGAGAAATCACACCAAGACATACCAAACTGACTTACACGGCCTGCCGAGCACACCTATCGGCGCCAAGAGAGCGGCACCACCATTTCCCAACACCTCCATCGGAACGCCTCGCACCAAACAAGTGGTCTCGCGGGCTGCCACGCTATCATAGACGCCATGTCGGCCCCGTCAAACTCCTCATCACCCCTCATCTCAACCAGGCGCCGCGCCTGCACCGCCTGTCAGCAGGCCAAGCGACGCTGCGACCAGCGGCTGCCTCGATGCGGCCGGTGCACACAAAAGGGGCTCGACGACTGCAACTATCCGTCCCTCGAAGCCGCTGTCGCCGCTGCGGACTTTAACTTCTTCACCGATGTCCTCAGCGGCTCCGCGGCGACGCCCGACTCGCTACATAACATGATGCCGGTGCCAGTCGTGCCGGAAGTGGAGAACCCGTGGCCCATGTTCTACACGAACCCTGGCGCCACAGCAGCTGCTCCCACGCCTTCACCGTCAATACTCCCTCCTCCTCCTCCGCCAAGCAGCGAGTTCATCTCGCGGGACGCCGTCCTCTACTGCAGCGAGCAGTTCCGGAACTATCCCCGCCGCTGGGTCGGCCACAACGGCGTGGCCCCTTTCATTCACCCGGCCCTCTATCTCCCCACAACCACCGGCGCCGATGGCCTACCGCCCGTCCTGCAGGACTGCTTCTGCGCATGCGCGGCGTACGCCGCCAAGAACGAGGAAAACGCCGCGTTGGTCATGGGCGTCGTAGAAGCAAAAGCCACCTCACTCCTCTACGTCCCGGATCAGGCGACATGGACCCTTCCGCAACAAGTCGCCGCGCTGCAGGCGCTGGTCATGTACCAGATAATGCGCTGGTTCGACGGCGACATCCGCCAGCGCGTGCTGGCGGACTCGGTCGAGCCGGTGCTGGCGGCGTGGACGTCCGCCCTGCAGTCCCGCGTCGGGGTCGGCGTGTTCTCCGCGGAGGAGGCGATGCCCTCCGTCGTCCTCCCGGAACCGCAGTCGTCATCCTCCTCCTCGGCGGCGGCGTACCAACACGAGGGGCTGTCGCCGGAGCAGTCCCGCTCAAACACCCCCGGACGAGCCACCATGGAGGAGCTCAAGGCGTCGTGGCGCCGCTGGCTCATGGCGGAGTCCATCCGTCGGGTGCTCGTCATGGCACACCTCGTCCGCGCGGTATACGCCACCGCAAAGCACGGGGGCAGCGCGTACGGCAAGCTGGGCGGGAGTGGCGGTACAGGGAGCGGCGGCGGCGGCGGCGGCGGCGGCAACCACCCTCTCACGCTCGCGGACATGGGTTTCACGGCGCAGGCGAGGTTATGGGCCGCCACGACGGTGGAGCGGTGGAATCGGTCGCGGGAGGGCGACACGCCGTGGTGGGTTGGGCGGATGGACTTCTCCGGCCTCCTCGCGCTCTCGGACCCCAGGGAGGTGGACGAGTTCACGGTCCTGCTCGCCGTGGTGTTCCGGGGGAAGGATGCCATCGAGGACTGGATGAATCACGGGCCGGGCGGGATGTGAAGACGACAAAAAAAAAAAGAAAAAGCCGGTCAACGGAGAGCTTGGCGTACATTTCGTTCCACGCGCAAGGAACATGAGCGTTTCTTCTTCTTCTTCTTCCCTTCTTATTTCAGTACTTTCTTTCCTTCTTGGTTTTTCCAGCATTTTACATCAGCCAGACCGGCGTTTCGGGCGGGACAAGGGGGGAGTCTCGAATTTTTTATGCATCAGCGTCAGCTTCAGCATAGCGGATTGAGAAAAATTGGACTTGAGAACTTGTCAACTTTAGACTTGGGGGTTTTTGGAATGCATAGCGTTGGCGGATAGATAGACAGACGGACGGGCTATAGGGGCATAGTGGACACAACGGAGAAGGTCTGGGGTAACGGCCGAAAAAGAAGACGAGAACTAGAAGGGATAGATGAGTGTAGAAATAATAGAACATGGCACGATTTCTCCTTTCTGTAGAATACACGCGAGACCGTTGATGCTGATAAAATTGTCACCATGGAGCTGAGGCAAAAGATTTTGCTCCAAAGATGGGTAGTTGTCTTGACAAAGAATCTAAACTCAACGTACGCCATCTCAGTGAAAACAATCACAATGCGGAACAAATATGGAGGTTCATGTTTTGTTCATTAATCATCTTCTATCCCTGCTCGAGGCAGTAGAATTGTAAATGCCATGGTCTCTAAGTCTTTCCTCCCGCTTCACGTCTGCCCGATGGCGGCGGTTTACGTTAATATTAAGAACCAGAATAGGCACCGAAAAGGGGCATCCTTGAAAAGGAGGCCGCGCCATGCCTCCTCGCCGGCGCAGGTTTCGCAGCCAGGCTGGATGTTCTCTTCTCTTTTAAACTTTTGAGGCGCAATAGAAATGCAGGTTCTCGTCTCGCTTGTGATCCGGAGGGCAGAGGCCGGGGTTCTCCGTAGTTTCGCTACTGTGTTCGCAGGGAAACAGCTCAGTCCTTGAGTTTCTCCGGTCGCGACGAAAAGCTGCGAGCCTTGGTATGGGTCTTGAGGTTTTCAAGACCGACTATCCAAGGCGGGCGGGGGCGAGCTCACAACGACTGCACTTAGCACATCTTGTACTCGGCGGCACCCTCGGCAGCACGGGTGGGGTCGTCAGTGAGGAACTTGTAGGCAATCTTGATGTCCAGGTCACGGCGGTTCTTATCGTTGGGCCTGACGTCCAAGCTGCCCTCGACTTCCTCACCGGCGGTCATGGTAAGAACGTCCTTGAGGTAGAAGACGGTCTGCTTCCAGTGGGTGTACTTGGTGTGGGGGCCGGTGGAGAAGCGGATGGGCTTGTGAGCGGCGGTGAAGTCGATGTCGAACCAAGCGACGAGGGCGTGGATGAAGTCGTCGCGGCGGGCGGACAGCTTGAAGTTAGTGGCAAAAGCAAGGTCGGCAACCTGGCACTTGTAGAGGTCCAGAGTGAGGACGGGCGCGGGGTCCGTGACGACAGCCTTCATCTCAACGGTGTCGACAAGGGGCTCGGCCAGAGCTGTGGCCTTGAGAGGAGAGTAGTCGAATCCATAGACGTTGTCCCAGACTGGAGAATGGGGGTCAGCGCTTCATTCATTGTCTAGCTTGGCTCCAGCAACGGAGCCAGGGGACTTCAAACTCACATCCAATCTTCTCATCCTTGTAGTCACCGTCCTCGATACCGGCAACAAAGATGGTGGCCTTGTCGGGGAAGATGAGACCGTCAGGGTTCAAGTACCTGTCGCGAGCGTACAGAACGGTATCGAGCATGGATTCGTAGAGGAGGAAGTAACCCATCCACTCAGAGATGATGATATCGACCTTGGGGAAGGGGAGCTCGACCTCCTCCATCTTGCCCTGGATCAGGGTGATCTTGTCGGACATGCCGTTGACCTCGACGATCTGGCGCGCCTTGAAGATGATGGTGGACATGTCGACACCAATGACGTGCTTGGCACCGGCCTTGACGGCGAACCTGCATCATGTTGTAAGCCGAGGGGCTCTTCGGAGAGACGAAACTGCGCTGGGCAGTTTCGGGGGGGGGATCGTACATGGAAAGGATGGCAGTACCGCAGCCGACATCGAGAACGACCTTGTCCTTGAACAAGTGCTTGTTCTGGACAATGGCGTTCATGTAGGAGCGCGTGCGGACCTCATCTTTCTGCAGGGACGGGACGGTTAGCGAGGGGTTCACCACAGATCCCAGCCTTGGAGGGGCAGCTGTGCAACATGTTTTGGAGGGGTCTGCATACCAACATCTCCTCGTGAATACCTGTTCCACATTCCCTCCGGTCAGACACATTGTTTACTTTCTCGATCGAATCGCAAGACAGGACTTACCATGGTGGTCGTAGCTGCAGAAAAAGCCAACGTTAGCTACCATATTCCAACCGGGAGGACATCGCCCAACGTCTTGGAAAGGACAGGACATAATCGTACCTCTTGAAGTAGTGCTGCTCAGAGTGCGCCATGGTCTTGAGCTTCGCCTCGGCGGCGTCGACATCCATCTTGTCGCTGGACATTTTTTCTTCTCTAGCTTTACTGTGGAGGGGTAGAAAGATGCGTGCTTTGTAGCTTAAACGAAGTTTTCTAGGGCGAGGCGAGATGCTCCGAGTCGATCGACTTGCTGTTTACCACTGGTCTCCAAAGATGTGAAAGAGGAAATTTCAGGAGGAAGAGAAACACGGACAAGCGCGCGGTGAAGAAGGAAGGGTCGGTCGGCGGGGCTGGGCTGGGCTTGAACGGGGACCTCTTTCAACACGATCGGGCAGGCAGACTGGACTGGACTGGACGGACGAGACTGGAGGGGAAAGAAAAAAATAATAATTAAATCTGATTGCGCCGCTCATGCCTGTCACCGCCTGCACCCTGCATCGGCCAGTCCCCACCTCCTACTTTAGGCCAGACCACGCGGTTTTTAGCAGCTGGCAGACCCTGATTGCCGGCCCGCTCCTCGCCACCGCACCGCGTTCTCGTCGTCTCTGAGTGAAATAAGACCCTGCTATGCCTGGGGACGGGAGGATAAAAAAGCTCCCCTTGTCGATTTGCTGTTGAGGGGCCAATGCTGCTTGTTTGCTCTTCGGTTACACAGAGATCGCAAAGGTCAGGCCGCAGCTTTGATTGCAGATAGCTTTCCTGAAATGATGATAATATCAGATATAAACACAGGGATCCAAACAAGTGCCAGCCAACGCCCTGCTTTGCTATGCGATTCAGACGCCGCGACTCGTGAGAGCAATCTTCAGACCACCGGACCTAGCACCACCTCTCGTGTGGCTCTCTCCACTTAACTCCCAAGATCTCAAAGATCTTTCTCTCATCCCGGCCCTCAACCAACTCTCCCTCGGTCAATTTGACCCGACCAGGGCCCCTCATGACATCCTTGTACAAACCCCTCTGGTTGAGTCGCATTCCCTTCTTCGACGCCAGTAAACGAATGCTTCTGTTGAAAATGTCGTTGCCCGTGAAATAAATCAGCGCCGCCCCCATCTCCGTCTCGGGTACGAGCAGAAAGTCGACACGTCTCCAGACCTTGCGATAGTTCTGGTCGTTGAATCCGTTGAAAGGCGGCAGCGCGCAGCAGCCGTGCCATTTGCTGCCGTCCAACTCGTCCCTTGAGCTTGCCAACCTCGCAACCAGAAAGTTGCGCTCTTCCAATATTTTGACCAGGTCGTTCAGGAATGAGACAAGCTCAGAAGTTGATTTCGTTCCCTTTTTGGTGATGAGGAAGTCTATATCCCCGCTGCTGTCTGCACCTCTGCGATAACTACCGCTGATGATCAGCTCGACATCCGGATCCAGCTCTGCCGCCGCAGACCTCACAAAAGCCCCGAGAAGCTTCATCTCGCGGCGCGGAATGCGAGTGTTGAGATCTTCATAATGATCGATGCCGATTCGTTGGTTCGTGGTCAACTTGGCCTTCTGCTTGAGATCCTCGAGTGTCCTGAAACCTTGGGAAATCCAGAGACTAGCCTGAACACTGCCCACGCCGTATATCTTGAGGAATGTCTGGAGAACCTCGTCCATGGGTTCGCTCTCGGCATGCTCTAGGCGCTTGAGTCGGTCTGTGGTAACGATCTCCTGGATTTTGTCTGCAAGTCTTTGACCGACACCAGGTAGCCGAATGGCTTCGTCGGCCGTAGTGATCTTTGTAGGCTGGCGCTTCAACTGCGTGATAGCTTTTCGATACGCGATAGGGCGCCATGTGTCGTTTGTCCGCGTATAATAATCGCACATTTGCTGTAAGATTTCGATGGTCCGGCTGTTGGGATTCTGTTTGTCCCCTCCCTTGGTGCCTCCCCTGTGACACGCAAACTTGTCTTCCCACGTTAGGTCCTTTCGTCCTCTGCCTTTTGTGGCTGCTCTCGTTTTTCTTCTCCTGTCATCTTCTGAACCGTTCTCTTCATCTGAGTCCATACCGACTGAGTCTGACGTCGCGGGCAACTCGTCCTCGTCGTGTTCCAGCGGCAAGTCCCTATATTGCTGAAGCTGTGATATAACACTTTCCAGTTCATCTTCCGGCGTGGAGAGTGGTCTTTCTCCCAACACAGTGGAATCTCCGTTGTCGGATCTATCGATGAGTTGACTCGAAGGCACATGCGCCGTTTCGGACTGCACGATAGAAGTGATGTCTCTCAGAACAGATGGTGAAGGTGGCTCCGGTTGCTGATCACTCCTTCTACTCGAAGATTCTTGACTTCGTGACGGTGTTGACGGTGGAGGTGCATAATCCCATTTGCCTGGATTTGTTTGGCGCTTCTTAAGCGGCCTGTCCTGGAGAGTTGGAGCACTTGGCTGGGCCTGCTGCGGCTGCGGCTGCTCAATTGTTGGAGCCGACGCTTTTTCCGGGCAGCCTAAGATTCTGTACTGTTTCTGGTCGGAGTTGAGCAATGTCTTGAAGCGAACGCAATCAAGGGGATACTCGTCGTTGACAAGGGTGAATGTGAGATGGTCTGTACCGCACAGGATCTTTTCGATGTTCTTCCACTCCAGGTGCTTGTCCACGACGACATGCGTTGCTTCTTCCAAATTTCGCACCCAGGTGGCTCCGTACTCCAGGGATTTCCTGATGCGCATCCTTCTTGCGGGTGCGATATCATCGTTCGGGATGTAGTAGTGTCGCCTTCCGCGCAAGACCTGCTGAGCCTCGGGCACGACCTTGACGCTCGCATCCCTCTTTCTCTTCTTCATGGCGGCGACAGAAGGGGAATGATCCGCCGGATGAGCAGTCAAATGCTGTTTTACTGGAAGCGGTGTAGAAGCGGTCCTCGTGAGAGTAAGTAATGGCTGCAGCGGTTGTCTCAACGAAGTATCCGGAATCGGGGTATCTTCAATGAAACTGGTTTCCGCAGGAGGGGCGACGTCGCGATCTTTCCTTCCCGGACCCTTGATCTCGGCGAGTGGTGTTCTTTCAATGACGTCCTTCCGTTTGAGCTCCGCGAGTTGCGCGATGATCGGATCCGAAGCACTCCTTCTGGGAGTTGGATTTGGTTGGTGTTGAGAAATAGCGAGTGACCGCAGAGACTCTTGGCTCCGCTCTTGAAGCGGTTGTCGAGGTTGCGCCGCAGCTTGGAAGGCCTTTAGTTGTCGTCGGTGCTGTTTCTCAGCCTCTCCAAACTCGTCTTCATCGTCGTCGCTCAAATTTCCGATGGCTTCCAGCTGATGGAAAAAGCGCTCTTTGTCCCTCAACGGGGTGCCGGTGTCGGCCATGGTGGGAGTTGTCAAAGAGGCGCGCGCATGAACCCTTTTGTTGATCGCGCCTGTACCAAGATCATGTCGGATCTGGACTGCTGCCTGGGCTCAAGGGAGCTGGAGTGATGGAAGTTGGGAAAACCGCTGGGCGAAACGACAGCGACATAAGGTACCGAGGATGACAGGTTACCCGTCGAGGTGATGTGTCCATGGAAGGGATGGATGCCTTTGTTGACCCATGGACAGAGATGCTGAATATGGCCAGAATGGTGCATGACGTGGGGAACAGCGATGCATTAGTGCTCTAGCTGGCTGCAAGTCATCCAATTAAGGCATGCCTGAGCACTGACAGCTCTCCACCTGTAGGGAGAAGAGGGAGGTGCGAGCGCCCGATAGGCTCCATCCAGCCTCCAGGTTGCATTCGATCGCCAACATGTGAATTCTTCAGAGCAAGACGTGCATGATTCAGCACGGGAGGAAGGGATCTAGCAGAGAAATCCATCCACATCCATCGCTAGCAGCGCCGTCGACTTTGCCGCGTGGGGTCTAAGAATACCATTGTTGTGGATGAATGCAAAAATCGATGGACTTATTACGGTGTTTGCGAGCCTCCACGTCACATTGCGAATCGTCATTCCATCAGTGAGACATTGGATCCGTTTAACTGAACAAAGAAATTCATTCCTGGTCTATTTACCAAAAAAAGATCACACCCAAGAGTCGTCATGGGCCTGTCCTGCTTTTCGTGAGTAATTACAAGTACAGCGGTCAGGGACGGACCAACATCCTCCGCCTCCCATGGTATCACCGTATTCCAAATCCAAGATATATATATGTACATTGCATCGCTCATTCCCGTGTAGATATGTAAACGCCAGGCGGTGATGCGCCGCAGTATATTGCCACCATATTTGTGGCGTGAGTTAAATCGGCGGTCGCTCAAGCCTCAGCAAGAGCGCCGTAGATCGATTGATATTGTGACAGCTCGAGACGCGTGCCGAACCTCTATCGCGGGGTTTCGTTTCGTCGAGAGCGAAGTATCAAGTCAGATGCCGGTGCTTCACTGGGCATGTCCGAACTGTGGTGGGAATTGTGATGATCCTGCGAAGTTGCGGGCATCCATCAATGGGATGCTGTTCTTCTCCATTGGCTGGAAAGAGACCATGTCGTTCGAGTAGCGACTGGCAGCCTCGTTATCCATATCGTTGAGCACCTCTCTGGTGAGCTCAACGTAGTCGTAGGCAAACTCGCCAATTTCGGCATCGTCGATGCCCAGAATCTCGGCCTCTTCAGAGGCACGTAGTCGAAGGCCGGGAATCATGTTCATGATGAAAAGGATAATGCAGGTGCCGACGAAGGAATAGGCACCTCCGGTGAAGGAATCGGCCAGCTGGTAGCCAAGCTGAATCCAGTTGTGGTTGATCCAACCGCCGTCAATTACAGACTCGCCATCCAGATGGGCGATGTAGTTGGCGGCGAAGAAGGCCGTGCAAACGTTGCCAACGAGACCGCCGATGCCGTGAACAGCGAAGATGTCGAGGGCGTCGTCGATCCTCAGAATGAATTTGAGCTTGGTAGCATAGTTGGCGAAGGCCGCGCCGAGAACGCCGAAAGGAACGGCAGCCCAAACAGGGACGTATCCTAGAACAGGCAAGTCAGTAAGTAGTCCAGAGAGAAACAAGGGACAAGTTCACCTACCAGAACCAGGCGTGATGGATACCAAGCCGGCAACCACACCAGAGCAGAATCCAACGGTAGACCACTTGCGTTCGAGTCTGTAGTCCAAAACGCACCAGGTGATACCGCCGACACACGCAGCCAAGTTCGTGACAACAGCCGCAAGAACGGCTCGCAAGTTGGCAGAGAGAGCTGATCCGGCGTTGAAGCCGAACCATCCAACCCACAAAAATACCGTGCCAATAACAATGTGGGTGACGTTGTGCGGGCGGTAGTTGAGCTCGTGGGTTCCGTGACCGCGACGCTTGCCCAGCATCATGGAGTAGGCTAGAGCGGCTGTGCCGGACGCGATGTGCACGGGTGTTCCTCCCGCGAAGTCGAGACCACCCATCTTGTTAGACCAGCCACTAGGGTTCCACGTCCAACAAGCGATAGGATCGTAAATAACGGTCGCCCAGATAAACATGAAGATGACACAGGGGAGCATGCGACCGCGCTCAGCAACCGCACCCGTAGCAAGAGCAACGGTGATGCAAGAGAACATGCCCTGGTAGACGGCGAAAAGAAGGTCGGGAATGCGGCTGGAGCCTACGGATGGTCGGGCGAGGACGTTTCTGAAGCCGAAATTTGCCAGGTCGCCAATGAAGGCACCGGCTGTGTGTGAGAAAGTTAGAGAGTAGCCCCAGAAGAACCACTGAAAGCTGGTGACACCGGTGGCCATGACGGAAAGCCAGATCAAAGACAGGGCGGATTTCCTTCGGGCCAACCCTGAGTAGAAGAAACTGTTGGACACGTTAATCGGCTGAATCGATGTCGTCGCCGAGGGGAAGACTTACCCAACACCTGGAATCATGAGCAGCACGAGAGCCGTCGATGTAATCATCCAGGCGATGTCACCCGTCTACGAGTCCCACCGTTAGCATTCCACCACATTGAAGACTGGACTAAGGGGGATATCACGTACCTCGTACCAAATGTTCAGATCCTCCGTGAGAGAGTCGCCTCCCGTCGGGCCAGAGCCATTGTATGGCACGAGGTGGACATATTCGAGGTCGTTCACGTCGATATCGAGGGGGGACGCCATTGTGTCTGGTTATTCGGTATCTTAACGCCGATTCGGCAATTGCACTGCACGCGCGGGAACCGTGGAGAAGGTCGCAGATAGGCCAGCCGGAAGGCCTGGTCACGACAATCGACGACTGTTCGTATTAAAAAGCCTGTCGACAGGCTCCAGAGTGAGCGGAGGCTCGATCGAGAGCGCTTTTGACCGTCGTAAGTTGCAGGAGGGACAGCAAGGAGCGAGACGACATGACGGAGGACTCAAGACTCGATTGCAAGGAGCGGGCGCGGGATGCGCGAAGCTTATGAATGTGGATGTCAGTCGCCCGACACAAAGTTGCGTTGCGGGCGGCGGAGTGAGTAGCCCTGAAGGTGGCGGGCAAGCTAGCGGGACGGTAGGCATCGCCCGACGGATTCAGAGGCCAGAGAAAGGACCTGGACATGGACACACAGGAAAGGTCGCAGACTCGCTGCCATTGCTGGGCTGTCCCACGAAGGACTTCTGGCCGCCCAGGGCCAAGGCTTGCCGGACTAGGGACTAGGGGGTGGCCAAAGTTTTCCCGGGGGGGCCTTCGGGTGTGGGAGGTCGTGGGAGGCCCTGGTAAGAAAGCAGGCACTCATCGCTCCGGCCCTCTCACTTGCTCACTCACACTGCAGCCGACTCCAGGCCAGGGATTTTTTTCATCAAGGCCAGGGCCAATCGGCAGGGGTGAGGCACGGGGGCGGAGGCTTATCGATTGCGACGTAGATCCAACCTACCTAGGTACCTAATGCTCGACGTCCCAGGGGTTCAGGAAGGAAGGAGACCAGGAATCGATTCGATACGGCACGATGTGCATATCGAATCTATCTGGTGGAAAGGCAGCTGCGTGTCCAACACATCCGTGCAGTTGGAGATGGGAAAAAAAGAAAAACAATATGCCGTCGAAGAGGTCGAAGAGGCAATAAGGAACAACAATGCCAAAGCCCAGAAGGACTTGTTGATCAGACGACTTTAAGACAGAACGAGAACGGCCTTTGATACCCTGGGGGCGCCAACAACACCGATGGCCGTCCTCGGTTAGCGGCCACGGCTCTTTCCAGTCTGAGTGTCTTCAATCCCTCCAGCTCAGCTCAGAGTTTACCATTGCTGACTTGATCCAACTTGTCATCAGATGGCTTGTCTACGAACACCACAGCATTTCCAATTCATCACCTTCTAGTATGCCATGGTTCTCGAATAGCTTTCCGAATCGAATGAAAGTCGCAATCCAAATGCATGTGCTTCATTTATCTGACCACGCCCTCCCCTGTCGTACAAGGGTTGGAATTGCCATATGGAGAGGCAGAGGATGAACGGGGAAACGCCTGTTATCAAGCAAGGGTCCTGCGCCAGAGATAACGGTCAGAACTGCTGCCAATTCATATTGTCTGTCGAGCAAATCAACGGCCAAGACTCACGAATGAACATTCGTATGGTGCCGCCTTCATCCTATGTATCCCTCATAGGTGCCATATCCCAGCCAGCCGTTGCCCCGAGAATGATACATACCATCTGGCCACCGCCGTCCCGACCTCCTGTCCGTGGTGTTTCCTCCGAGCATATGAGACGCAGCAGTCTGGACTTCTGCAGGCGGCGAGATGCCACGTCTGAATTGGCCGAGGAGATGATGAGAATCACCCTTGATTATACGGCATCCGATTTTCCATGAGTCGACTAGGGGCTCGTCCCGATGCTTGGCATTTCCCTCTCGGCCTCTTTTGTTTCGAACATCTAACGAATACCACCAGTTGCAAGAATGATGATCCAAGGGATCCGAGAAACACGCTGGCTGGAGCAATGGCAGGTATCCGACTCGTCCATACAGATACGTCATGCTATTTTACAGAGACTAGGCGTGAGGGCGGGCGCACAACAACTCAGATCAGCAGCGGACGAACAGCTGTTTGCGGGCGACTGTGATACCGTCCTGTCGGTTCCACGACAAAGACGCCGTTTTACACTACGCATTCGGACACGGCAACAATTTTCGAACGAGACTGACGGAAGGCACGGGAAGCACGTCGGCAACGGGAGCGAAGGAGAAATCTCGGATGGGTCTTCGGAAGCAGAGGAATTCAGGGACCACCGTCTCAGTGGAATTTCTTGGCCAAACTTTGGAACCCACGACAAAACGGGCAGGAAATTAGGCTTTAGGAGAAGTTCAGAGTGTGTACCGTGTCGTGTATGGCCATGTTTTTTTGAGACGAAGTACGGCACAGCACGCCGTCATCCCAACTCTTGCTGAAACAGTCCGCATTTGAGCTGAAGACTCTTTTGCGGCAGGGCGGGAACTCAAAGCGTTCACAATCGGACCTGACTGACCTGTGGCACCAGGACATAGACTTTTGGAGTTGAAAAAAGTCATGGTTGTGAGCAATTTCATCATACCATGATTAAGGACTCGCCTGTTGGAGGACATGCGTCTCGATGTCTGATGTCTTGGACCGGTTGTTCAGCAAAATTGGTTGACTCCATGTCTTTCATCCGCCCTCTTCGTCTTATCGTCTCCTGGAATTCATTTGGAACGATGAACCAAAGCCAATGCTAAGAAAGATCAACGAAACTGCTTCGACAGACTTTGAGCTCCCCATCTGCTACCTCAGTAGACACCGACCCCCTAACGCCGGTTTGGGAAAGCGAACAAGGATGACAAGCACCCCTCCCGCCGCTACCAAGCTGATGGGAGACGGAAAGGCAGCCTAACGACGAAAGAAGGCATGGGCACCGGCCGAAGTGACCGAGTAACTTCACTTTGTCATGATAAGCCTAATAAGTCTGATTGGTCGATATGGTCCCGGTGAGAGAGGCACGGCAGGTGCCCCGGTCTGGGTTAGCGGTGCGGCGTGCCAGTGGGGGCCAGCTTGCAGTGGAGTTGCACTTTGCACTTGCAACTTCGAACCTTCTTTGCTTTTTCTGAATCCCTGCAACCAATCCTGATCTTCCATCTACATCCACCTCCAATCCATGTTCAACATCACTCCCTCCTGGCCCTCCGTCCGTCACTGTGGCCATCAACAACTTCAAGACCTCCTCTTGTCTTTACCGTTGGATCACAGGTGGTTTGATCCTGTGTGACGGTCACAGCATATCACAACGCCCGCTGCATGTGGTCACTAACAGAACCAACAGCTGCATCTCCAACAAGTAGCACCCAGCATGGTCTCCAGACAACGGTACTGCCACAATGGTACCGTTCCTACCTCTCGCCCGCCGGCTGAAGCTTCAATTTCTCTGATACCACGCCAGAGCAAGCTTCGCTTGAAACAGGAATGCTCCGGTGCTTACGCCCTGTGGTGATTAAGCCAGCTCACCGAAAATCATCAGGACTCTCATCTCGGCCTGCAAGGGTTTCGTCCTGCCCTACCACCTGTCCCACACGGACTTTTGGACCGCCGGATGCACCAGGCCTTCCGGATTGCTTTCCTGTCTTCCCATTGGCATCCAAGCCGACCACTTTCCTTCCGGAATCGGTTCCTTGATCGGCATGTCCAGCTCGTTACGGCAAACAACCAGCCAACTAGCGTTGCGCTGTGCCTGACATACGAGCCATCGTTGAGACCTACGAGCAACGCGGCATTGGTGTCTCTGCTTCCGCGGTCAGCTCAGAGACCGTGCGTCAGTCGCCCGTCTTGTTAACCAACGGTTCAAATCACTTTGAGAGGCTCAACGGAAGGCCGCGTGGTGGCTTCCTCGCCGTGCTCTACTGGCAAGGATGCCAAGCGGCGTCCACCCCCAGAACCGTATTGCTCAAATCTTCTCGTCATAGAATCATGTCCAAGGGTATTTATCTCCCCGGGTTAAGGGGCCCAGGAACCATCTCCCACTCTACTGTCACGTCATTCGACAACGGCCTGTGATCCGCCCCAGGACATCGCCCTCCCGACTGCTTGAATACGGAGCGCACCCCTCTGCTCCCACGCGAGCTGATCGGTGATCACTGATCATCCTGTCAGCAACGATATGAACGGTGGAGAATATGAAGCCCATACCCCGTTGAAGACTTCCATCGTCTGAGAAACTCTATGATCTCATGTGGACACCAACGGAGGAAGCCCTCGAACATCGAGCATCGTTTGGCACAATATAAAAAGCAAGCCATGTCTCAGGACAGTGTCCCCAACCGCATGCCTGCAGATCGGCACAGGCGCCGTTGAATGGCTAGAACATCCAGCTGGATCAGACGCCGTACAGACACAGGAGGTGTAACTAGATCCTCCTCCAAACGGAAGGTCAGAAAGACCCCCCGTCACGCCGGCGGCCCCTGAATCTTCAAGCCTTGGATAAGCAACGGAGTGATTGCCTGCAGCTTCGGATCTGGATTAAGCTGCCACCCTGTCTGCTCAACCAGCAGCTCAACGCTACCCTTAGCATGAACTAAGCCCCATCGGCATCAATCTCCATTGGTCTCGCCCGCCCAGTCTTGACCCTTGATCTCGTGGTCTCCTTCAATCGGAGGATCGCGTTATAGTCAGCCGCAATGGATCTGAGGCCTGTCAATGATGTCGAATCCAGCCTTGTCCCCCGCGACCGAGGCATGAAGAATAAATCTCGGCCATCAGCGGCTCATTTGGTTTTCCGAGACGTGATGATTTTGCAAAAGGGGGGTTGGGTGTTCCATCCGGCCGTCCATCGGCGAAGCCTCAATGGGAAATGTCGGATCTGAGGGAATGACCGTGGTAGGCAATAGAGCGAGCTTCCCAGGAGAAAAGCGAGCATGCTAAGTTGTTGAAAGATCCGGGGAGGGTTCCAAGATGCTCCGGTTCTCACTCAAATGTCACCAGCATTCCCAACAGTCACAGACCCCTCAACTTTGCCGAAGACCAACCATTTCCCAGTTCCTACATTTCCAACCTGTTGAAAATTGGAGCGTAGTTGTATCCGTGTCTGACGGAGAAAGCCGTTTCGACCGCCATTGACAGACCCACGAGGAGCTCACTGTTTGCTAGTAAGGATGGGTTCGCACGCTTTCAAATGTGTTTGCGACGACAACAGCATTCTGTAGGACTACTAAAAATTAACTTGGCTAACATCACGGCGTGGTCTTGGTTGTGTGACGCAAGGTTGCTCATCGTAAACCCGGAACTGGGGGATCTTCGATATCCAGGCGACAGTAAACTGTCTTAAAAAAGAAATGTACAATTTTTCGGTTACAACCGTCTTCATCCAACAAGACCTATTCATTCAGCAAGTCAAATGTCTTGTCCCCCTCTCTCAAACTTTTCGGCAATAAATCCTTGCTTCCGGCACTCAATATGATGACCCATCTGGGTCCTTCTCAGCTCACCAAGGCCCCGCGCGGCAGCAGCGCCCAGTGTCCTCCGCAGGAACACTTCCGCTGCTGCGCCAGGACGAACGTGAAGCCGGGTCGCGAGCCCGAGGCGTCCTCCATGACGGCGGAGCAACGCACGCAGCGCCGCCACTGCGGCGCCTTGATCTCCTCGGCCTCCTTGGCGGACCGGGCGGGGGGGCCGACGAGCTCGACGCGCTTGAAGACGTCGACGTAGCGGCCGCGGGCCTTGCGGGTGGAGAGGGAGCGGCGGTCGTCGTCGATCTCGAGGAGGTCGAAGTCGGCGAAGAAGAGCTTGGAGGGGTCGGTCTGGGCGCGGTAGTTGCGGAGGTCCGTTTTGAAGAACTTGAGCAGGACCTGGAGGAAGGCCGGGGGCGGGGACTGGGCGAGGAGCATGTTGAGCTCGCAGTGGATCTGGGCGTTCTTGATCTGGGCGTCGACGGCCTTGCCGCTCACGCCGGCGCCGGCGGGGTTCTTGCTGGCGAGGGAGGCGAGGGAGGTCTGGTAGGCGGCGCGGATGTCGTTGTTGAGCACGGTCAGGAGACGGTCGAACTCCTGGACCTTGATGAGGCTGCTCGAGGTGACGCGCTGCATCTTCTGGTAGGCCTTGTAGAGGACGGTGTGCTGGCCCTTGGGATTCGGGGCGGAGGGGTCGTTGACGTTGATGATGGCTGCTTTCCTCTCGTAAAAGTCGATGGCGCGGTTTGATAGAATCTCGAGATGGAGAATGCGGCGGCAGACGGCCGAGAGGAAGCCGCGCGTGGAGGAACAGAGAAGGAGGTGGAGGGAGACGTCGGAGCGGGACTGCAGGTAGCCGCTCATCTCGGAGAAGTGCTGCGGGGTGAGCAGGCCGAGGAATTGCGGATCGTCGAGAAGGGCGAAGAGGGAGTCGGTGAGCCAGGAGAGGAGGTCGAGGGACCACTTTGCGCAGCCCGAGAGGGCGTCGACGACTTCGTGCTCGTCCAGCGGACTGAGCTTTTCGCGTATGTTCACCGGTGTGTTGCTCGCGATTGTGATGAGGATGACGACGTTACGGGCGTTGAGGGCCAGCATGGCGAACTTGCCACCGAAGGACCTGGGTTGGAACATGCCTTTGTATCCGAGGTGGTTGAGGATGCTCAGACACATTTGCAGCGAGCTGTTTCTAACGAGGCTGTCGTGATGCGTGTCTTCGGAGTAGTCCACTGGGATCTTGAGCATGCGAACGATCTCGTTGATCCAGTCGAAGGTGAAACCTGCGTGGTTGAGTGAGTGATGTACAAGTAGGGAAGGAGTTTACGTACGCTTCTTGTCTGCATACGGCCGAGCAACCGCCAAGATGTCGTCATAGTTGATGTTGTTGAATGTTGCTGTTGATGCGGCTACTGTGAGACCTGCAAGCACTGCAGAGTATTGGGCTTTGTGACATTAGCTTGATGCTACCCCCTTCATGGACGCAGAGCCATACCTTCTTGGTCGGAGTTTCCAATGTCGCCCAGCGGATGGTGTAATTTGCTCCATTTGACTTTTCCGCTGTCCTGTATTTTGACCAGTGAACAGTTTGTCGGAGAGAAGGCCGCCTGCAAGCCTGCAAGATCTCATCAGTCATGTTCAAATGCAGATCGTCAGATTAGTCTTACAAGGCGAGTCGTCTTGGAAAGTGAAGCCGACTTGGTTGAGCGACATCACTCTGTCTAGGTTCATCTCGTTGTATACTTCCTGCAGCGTGAATCTGTCGCGGTATTCCACGGAGCCATCACTGAATGCTAGACAGATGACTCTGCCAAATTGAAGAGTGTGAACTCCGATGATCGCCTTGTTGATAACGACAGGGTCGTGCTTCTTGAGGCGACATGTGGGCTTGGGCTTGTCAGATATGAACATATGTGTGGCATGGCGGATTGCCGCGGGTCATCCTGTAGCGGTGAATTTGACTTACTGGTGGCGCTGAGCCTCCACCGTTTCTCCTGCTCCCCAACTGCTCAAATGCTGGATGTAAACTCTGGGGATGGTCGGTGATGACCTCCCACTTGTCGATGATACTCTGTGTCTCTTGGTAAGGCGTGTTTGGGGCTGGCAAGTAAGTGCGGACGGCAAGAATGACCAGCGGAGCCCATCCTTGGCCACTCAGATCCATCGTCGATGGAAGAATCTCGAGATGCGTCAGCTGGGTCGTGGCCGAGTCGACCGGTGAGGTGGTTGGTCCGGTGGGCAACCACGTAGAGACGGCGATGTGTTTTTCTTGCATGACTGGATTCAGCGGCTGGCTTCCCGGCGGCGGCTTGTTGTCGGATTGGGACTGCGGCAGGCCCCATTGAATACCGACTCGCACAACCTTGAGCTGCTTCGATGCGGTGGCCAGAACAACCCAAAGCGCGCCTTTTGAAGATTAGCATATGCCAGAATGAATGAAGCTGCGGTGGGTACTGACTCTTGTCGCTGTGGAGGGCCGCATGTGTAATTAAATCGTCGGATGAGTTGATGCTTTCAAGCTCCAACGATGTTTCCTCGATTTTGTTGTTATTTTGGGCCCAGAACATCTTCAGATTGCCGTTTGCTGTCACGCAAAGCAGGGCGCTTTTCGATGGATTGGGGTGCCAAGGGCCGTAGGCATGGACAAAAGAGCTTTCATAACGATACGAATTGCCGTCTTTGACGGCTGGTCCATGGCAGACATAGTACTGGACAGAGTGTTAGCTGACGAAGACGTTGGGAATGGGTGCGTTCGTATACCTGTTTACTTTGCGGTGCCAAGGCTAGCCAGTAGCATCCGACTACAGCGTGAAGGTCGTCGCACGGCTCGTGGTCCCACCGTCGTGTGAGAAAAGGCCTGTTCAGATTGATTGAGTAGGTGAGGATGGAAACTCTGCCGGTAGCATCGATAACAGCCAGCTCAGGGCTAGCAGTTGACGCCCAAGCAAGGTGTACGATGGGGCTAGACGGATTCGTGGTGATGTGTTCGATCTTGGTGGGCTCACTGAGGCCCCAGTCGCCATTGTCCGGATGAGACCGAAGAAACCTGGTCTCCAGATATCTTCCATCCGGTGAAACAGAAGCGATGGCACCGGATCTTGACCAAGCAACTCCCCTGTAAATGTTGTTAGAACATGCGGAACGGAATAGGGCAAGGTTTGGGCGCGGATCTCACTGGCAACAACCACGAGTTCTTAGCTCGTCTATCCTTTGGCGCAGCTGCTTTGATGGTGGACGGGCGGCTTGGAGAGAAAGGCCGACGCCGTCTCCGAAGAGATCATCAACATCAAGCTGATCAACCTGCATGGGACCATTCATGCTACTTTCTAGCATGAGTGGCATTTTCGCTTCAGTCATGGATGGAATCGATTCGCAGTTCGTCGTTTATGAGCGTGGCTGCTCAGGGTAAGGCATGCAGAGATGCAGTAGTAGAACAAGGCGGAAGGGAAGGGCTGACGGAAATTAAGGCGACGGCACGATAAGCCGGCGGACGCTCATCTTCCGATTGAATCGAACAGATGGTTTCCGGGTCACACGATGGAAGTGCTGATAATTCGACCCATACAATATCGTAACTACAGATTGAACGTCGTTCAGCAAAGTAGCTTTAAGCCTTGGGAAATTGATGATTGGAGTGCTGTGGCTGGAGGATTGGAAGATGCGGGTTGAAAACCAAAGAAGTTGCAGCTGGCCAATGGGCTCCAAGGTTTGGTTGACATGAGAACCTTACCTCAGCCTCAATTTGGACCGAGACGCGCTAGCCAGACTGGGGTCGCTTATCTTATTTATTCCCATGACGCTGATTGGACTCAGGTCTCGTCTAGTGGGCCTCCATATCAGGGGCAAGCCACATTGAGGCTGAAGTCTATCTGTCCCCGCCCCGGGCCGCCGTTCACGTTGACTGGAAATCTAGGTGACGGGATGCTCGCCCCGTGGACCTGAGCGCCCTGAGTGATGTGCATTGCAACAATCCACCCAATCTCAACGTCGTGGGGAAAAACCACGACCCGTGACGTCCGTCCCATAATCCTTGCAGCACGAGGGCCCGGCCCCCATCGATTGTGACAGGGACAAGTCGGGGGCCAGCAATGTTTCCGAGCAACGGGCGTCCACCTCCGTCCGGTTCGCCTGCCCTGTGGCCGTGGACGGCGTGGCCTGTGTGGGCTGCAGCGCTTTGTGTTGTCGCTTTTTTCGTCTCTGGCGCCCGCGACTCGGCCGCGTTTCAGCCGACCTACCATCGTGGCCGTTGGTTTTGGGCGCTGATGATGGCGGCTGGCAGACTCGAATGCAGAAGATAATTTGACTCCGCGTCATCCGCACCCATCAAAAGGCTCTTTCGGAACTCTGTTTTGCTTGATGAGACTGAAGTTGGTCTCGTTATCGCAATTAAGCCCATCCCAAAATGACGTAGTGTTGGTCATATCTATGGAAGGAAACCCGAACGCTGGTCGGAGTCGCGCTCTCGATGTGACCAAAACATTGACTGTTTTTCTCCACGGACAAAATCCGGATAGACGGGACCAGAAGGGATTGGATCTGGGCTGTTGTGTATTGTAATAGTGTAGTCGGCTGCAGCTCACCGCTGGATCGACATGCCACTCGCGATGGCTCCAGAACGCCAGCCGCCGTAAGCATATTCCAATTCGCGGTTCTTCACAACTGCCTCCCATTTGACGTTGTATACCCATCGGCCAAGGCGGGAAAGTCTGAAGAAAGGGATTGTTGCGCCGGAATTATCACAAAGCTATGCATCGGATTCAAGGTCCAGGACATCCCTGACATGATCTCGACCGTGAAAAAAGCAGCGAAAAGAATGGCTTTGTGCGGGATAAAGCAGTAGCCGCCTCTGAGGCATCAATCGAGTCATTTTTCGTCGGCGACGAGGAATAAACAGCGGGGTTGCTCATTGTCGCCCAGACGTCGCATGATTCCTAAGGGACATGAAAAGCGAACGATGGTGGAAGAAAGAGGGGGACAGAACAACAACAAGAGGGGGAAGCCGGACCGACAACGACGAACATTAACACAAAGGCAGGTCTCGTTGCAAGAGCTGATGTATCTCTCCGGCAGATCGCTGCAGAAAGGTACTAACAGCCAGCCTTTGATAGTGGAGAACCTGTTAGAGAGGCCCGGTCCGGCAGAGAGGAGGAAGGAGCCAACAATGCTATATAGGTGATTGGCAGAGGTTTTCTTCTAAGCACACACTCTCAGTTGAGAGACGGCAAATGGGGTCAAATGGGAAATTAGGCGACATTTTGTATCCGTATGCCAGAACCAAAACAAGACGGGACCACCTCAACCTTATCCAATTTTCCCTAAGGTACATACATAGTAGGTGAGGGAGGTATGGTGTCCGTAAAGCGCACCAACAATGCGCACTAGCCACCGCCGAATCTCACCTTAGACCTTACGGGTACTCTTGCCCGCCCGCATCCCCATTTGCTGCCGCGCCGTCACCGGCTCCCGTTTCTTTCTTTCTTTCCAGACTTTGCTATAACCTGTCTGATGTCGGGTGGATGTAGTCGGGCTCGACCCCCCCTCTCCTCTCCCTCTTCGCCTTGCCTTACCAAGGTACTTGAGTACTTTACTCTAGACTCTAACGTAGAGAGGCACATACATTACCGTCGCCTCCTTCTGATCGAGTGACTTGTTATTGACGGCTCCTCAGACTGGCCCGTTTCGTCTCGCTTCCCGGCCTTGCGTTCCATCTCACGTCCGCTCCCACTTCCACTTCCACTCCCGCAATCCGCGTCCCTCCCCCCCTTCTTCTCCCTCCGTGCTCCATCCATGTACGTCTGCTTGCAGGCGGTAGCACTGCGGATAGGTACTTGTTAAGGTACCCTCGCCCGGCCCCTCTCTCTCTCTCTCCACACTTTGTCTTTCTTCAACGACACTTCTTACCTCCCACGGACAACGAAAACCCTTTCAACCCCAGAGAAAGGATCTTACAACCCACTGAAAGAACATACAATCGCCATGATATAGAACATTCTTGCCCATGGTTTTGAGCTTTATTCGTCGTTTCTTTTCTTCCCCTCCCTCCCCGACCGACACCGACGGCGAAATGGACGCATCATCCTCCCCTTCAAATATGGACGTCGACGCGCACCAGCAATCCTCTTCTCCCTCAGATTCGCCGCTTTCCTCGCCTCTGTCTGTCCTATCGAAGTCGCCGTCAGTACCGTCATCCCCTGAAGTCGATCTCGACGCGTCGAAGCGTTACCCGTCGCCCACCTCCTCCATGCCTTCAGGCGCACAGTCTCCCGTCAAGCTGGAGAACCCCGACAACTCCGTGCCTGCCATCAAGCTCGACGACCAAGCTGACTCCATCAATGTCACCTCCAGCGACGCCGGCGAACCCCAACCCCCGCGGAAGCGCCGCAAAATTACCCCTCCCAAGGAGCGCACAACCCAACGCCTTGATTTGGACACATGCGCCGAGGACGATGAGAATTTGACGCGTCTGGTCTCTGCGCTCAAGAAGAGGAAAAAAATCGTCGTCATTGCAGGTGCTGGCATATCGGTTTCTGCCGGCATCCCCGACTTTCGTTCCAAGACGGGTCTTTTCGCGACTTTACCCAACGAACACAAGATGAAGGGTTCCGGCAAGCATCTTTTCGACGCGTCTGTCTACAAGCACGACTCCTCCACCGAAAAGTTTCACAAAATGATTTGCGACCTATCCACCATGGTCAATACTGCCGAGCCCACTCCCTTTCACCATCTACTCGCGTCAATGGCCATCGAAAAGCGACTACTGCGACTTTACAGCCAAAATGTTGATTGCATCGACACCAACATGGAACCTCTGAAGACAACTGTCCCTTTGAATACCAAAGGGCCTTGGCCGAAAACCATCCAGCTACATGGCAGCGTCGAACACATGGTCTGTTCGAAATGCGGCGAGATCAAGCGACTAAACACAGAACTTTTCGTGGGTCACGAGGCTCCACTATGTGCAGTGTGCGAGGAGCAAGATCACGTACGGGCCATGTATGACAGGCGAAGTCACGGCATTGGGCGCTTGAGGCCCCGAATGGTGCTCTACAACGAATTCAACCCGGATGAGGAGGCGATTGGGAAGGTTTCTAGTGTGGACCTAAAGTCGCGCCCTGATGCGGTCATTGTTGTTGGCACTAGCCTGAAAATTCCTGGTGTCAGAAGACTCGTCAAGGAGTTGTGTCAGGTGACCCGCAGTCGCAGGGACGGGTTTACTGCGTGGATCAACACCGACTCCGAACCGCAGCATAACGACTTTAAAGATTGCTGGGATTTGGTGGTTCGTGGAAAGTGCGACGATGTCGCTCATTGGGTTGGATTGCCTCGATTCGACGAGCCAACACAGAGCGGCGACCCCTATCTAACCGAGCGGGACGAGCAGCAGCGCAAGGCCAGGATACTTCGAGACGAGCTTCAGGTCAACATCGTCTCACCTCCTCCTGGATCGCCCACCAAATCCGAGTCTGACTCTGCAGCTGGAAACAAAAAGCGCAAATTCGTCGACCCAGTTCAGGGCATTCCGACCCCGACAGCGAGCCCGAAGATCAAGGCTGCCGACACCGGAAAGAAGCCCGGTAGACCCAAGCAAAGCAAGCTACCTTTCAGTGGCCGCCAAATCTCGGAGAGCGACGCGTCGGCAAAGAAGGTCAAGAAGGCTACGACCAAGAAGCCTCGCAAATCCAATGTCAAGAAGTCGACCGAGCCTCCCAAAAATGCGCTCAGTCAGACTTTCAAGACCCAGAAGAACCGGGAGCTTGCCGACATGCCTCAGGAGACCTTGGCCGGCAAGCTGGACAACCAGCACTACAAATTCGGCGAAGACAAACTTAGTGGCTCGCTTCCGCCTTTGCGACCGGAGGGTCAGAAGCCGGCGAAAAACATTTACTACCCCGAAAAACCTACAGTCGAATCCTCACGGGAAGAGAACACGGCCTCGTCAAAGCCTACCCAGAATATTTCGCGTCCAACTTTGACAGAACGACCCAAGTCCTCCCCCGGCACCGGCATCACGTTAGAAAGGACCAAATCCGAGGTACGACCAGCCACGCCCATGCATGAGCGGCGGAAATCGGCCGATACCATCTCACCCCCATCGCGTCCAAGAGGCATGGAGGCGTTAGTGGACTGAACACGGAATAGCGAAGAATCACAATTGCATGTGATGAAGGTTCATATTTATTGCACACATAGAGGGCATCGTCATGGCGGCACCGAAGAGTTTGGGCCGCGCGCAACGAGCATTGGCATGTTATTTGATCACGAAAGGAGTTGGCATGGATTGTCATTATGCGTTTTCTGGACATGTACATATCGTCTGCCCCTTGTACACACGCGCGTTCCTGCACCCAATGAGCCCGCAGGGCCCATCACGATGAGTGTAGACGGCGCAGCCGAGGGCTTGCGCACGGGAAGAGGCAAGGCGGAATAAAGGTGTTATTGGGTGAGATGGAATGTCAATACCGTAATTATACCACTTGAAGCAAAAGTACTCACCCGCTATCGACTTGACTTATGTGATTTCGTGGCCTTGCCGTCCCGTTCAGCGACCCTACAGTGTCCTCTTCGCGCCTTGCATTCGAGCCCTGACCGTCGGTCGCCGACGCGTTGGCAGCCGGTAAGACTCTGGGTACTCGGAGATCAGCCAGAGTTAGAGCCTCAGGCGTCGACTACCTGGGAATTGAACAGACACACCGATTTCAGCCAACACATACCAGTCGAATATCACAAGTAGAAGCATAGAGGCCAACAAGTGTTCAGTCAAACTTCTGAAATTCATTGAAGTGCTTTTAAGTAGGGCGGTGTATATCCCGCAATCTCTCAACGATGCGTCTGTGCTGCCAGCGGACGTTTTGTCCACCCCGAAACCCACAGTCATACGGGTCCGCGCGTGCATCTAACTTAAGGTAGCTCACGAATCAAGCCTCTTCAGGTCCACCAGGTATACCTAGACACATTTGCAGGCTCCTTTTTTTCTGCTCCCGTCGCCGCTTGTAAATACTTTAGTAATAAGGACAAAAAGCTCATCTCATGAGCGGAAACAGGTTGACATGATGATTCCCCAGCATCATTACTCCAATCGATGAAAGTGCGGTAGGGGGGAACGCGGCTGACGGGGCTGCGGAGCTCATAACACAGACAAGGCCGATGTCAGGTGACTCTGACCTCGACCTCGACCTCGACACCTTGCGGCGCCGAGGTCACGTCCCGTCCACGAATCAGCCGGCGTCACCTGCCAGCTCGAGTGCCGAGCCCTCATCCTGCCTCCTCCTATAACGGCTCTCTCAAAAGTTAGGAGATAAGACATGATGCTTTCGCAAAACTCCAAAACGGGTCGTCCTGTACCATGCAAGTCCGGGTATGTTGTAGTTTATCATTCCCTCGCCTCGACGAAGATGCCTTCCCCCTTAGTACCGAAACGCCAGGCCAATGCTGAAATGAAACACGAATCATGAAATAATCGAGAGTGCGCAGATTAAAAGTTGTCTGCTTTTCTGTGTTGTTTAATGATGTGAGATCTTGCACCTAGGTGGTGGCGGCAGTGCCATTAGCCGCGGCAGCTGCCGGCTTGTCTCCGTTTTGCTTCTTCGCCTCTCTGTCCCGCAGGACTCTATACATGGCGCTCAATCGGTCGCCTGTCACCTCATTGCTAGTGCTGTCAACGGGCCAAAGATTCGCCAAGAACTCCCTGCGCATGGTTAGCTCGATGTTCACTTGTGAGAAGAAGCACTGCTTACCAGAAGCGGTTCTTCAGCGCGTCATCGCGTTCCTTTACGAACTCGCGATCCAAGAAGTTGCCAATCACCACCAACTCCTCGCCAAAAATCCTGGCACGTTCCTTGCTGGACTTGACTCTCTCCTTTGTCGTACACAGGATAGCCTCGAAGTTCGCTCGGACTGGCTTGAGGAGATACCACAACATGGCGTCTGCATCTCTCTCCCTTTCCTCCTTATTGTCGCCCATCCGACGGAGCTGATCCAGTCGGCGCAGTGCCTGGTTACGGCGGTCGCTGTCGGGCTGGCCTGTTCTAGGGGTGTTGCTCGACCGACGGCGGTCATCTGCGTGTCGGTGATCTTGCCGGTGTTCTTCGGGTCGGCGGTGTTTGTGGCCGCGTTCGCCGTCCTCGCGGTGCCTGCGCTGATCCGCCCTAGGAGATTGTTGCTCCTCGCCGTTACTCTTAGCGCGGCGGGTCTCATCCATTCTCCGATGCTTGGGGATGCGGCCTTCATCGTGTCCAGAGTGCTTCCTCTTGGAATCTGGACGCGGAGTGCCTCTCTCATCGGCATTGCTGCGGCTGCGATGGTGCTCGCTGTGGCTGCGTTCTCGGTCCCGATAAGAGCTGCTTTTCTTCAACGCTTGCGGCGCAGGAGATGCAGCACCACTTCCCACATCACTGCGGCGGTGGCCATTCGCCAATCTCTTGTTGTTACGATGATGATTTTCGACGGCTCTGTGGGCCAGTGGATCGGCTGAGTGCTTCGCGTGGAGCACAGAAAGCAAGTACTCAGACCGGCGAACGAGATGGACAGCGCCCGGAGAGCTGACGCCTTTGTCGCTGGCCTTATTTCGCTCCTCCTTCTTCTCAATACGATGCTCTTCAAGGAAGAACTTGTCTCCCATGTCCAGTTCAGGATCGTCTCGAATTTGGGTCCAGGCACCGAAGCCGTATCGGTCAATACCAACAAGCAGCATTCCGTCTTCTCGAGCTCCCCATTCACACGTGTAGTGAGCTGCCTTTGTCGCGTCGCTGAGACGGAAAGTCTTGAAGTCACCGTTCTTCTGCAAAATTTGTCGCAGTAGACGCAGCTGTTGCGGTCGCTCGATAGCAGTCTCAGCGTTCATCTTGCGAACTTCGCCGAAATCAACCAGGACTGCCTTCTTGTCTTTCTTCGTCAATGTCTTGCCGAGCTTCCGCTCATCGTCCATGAGACGAGCACTGTTCTCGTTGAGTGCGTCTTCGCAAGTCTTGACGAAATCGTCCAAAATTGATTTCAAAAAGTCGCGGTCACGTCCCCCAAGCCTAGCCTCTTGAATAATCTCATCGCCTCGGTCATCCATGGAACCATATCGGAAGAAAGCTTTCAGCAAATTTCGAGTCTCCTTTTCGTTGAGGGGCCGCTTCGGATCAGACAGCAAGGCGCGTTGCTCCTCTGCCTCTTGTCTGTGTTGTTCTTCTCTCTGCCGCTTCTTTGCCAGGCGATCTGAACGGTCTGTCTCGCCGCCATTTCGGTTCTTCATCGTAGCTCTGCGTGGAGCACTCTCGGCCGCAACCTTGGCGAGATATTCTTCGTTCTTCCGCTGATCCTCCTCTGCTTTGATGACGGCAAGTTCTTCCGCGGGAATAATCTGGTCCCAGTCCAGGGCGAGGTCATCTACCTTGACGTCGGTGTACTGCATGAAATTGTCCCAGTCGATACCACCGCTGCTCAAGTTCATCTTGTCGTCAACCTTGGTCTTGGTGATTTCGGCGTTTTCCAAGATGGAATCAATGTCCAGCTGTTCAAGACGCTCCTGATTTCCGGTTTGCTCAAACATCTTTTGCGACCTCATCTTGAGGACCCACTGGATGTCTTCGGCAGAGCTTGGGCCGTCCATTCTGATGCCCTTCTTATTCATTTCCTCTCGGAAAGCCTTGCCGTCGTCGGTGACGCCAGCTTGAATGGTGAGATACTCAAGAAGCAGCTTGTTGCGAGCTCGTTCCAAAACTTCTTCCTCGACGGTCTCCTTTGACACGAGGCGATAGATGCTGACTGGCTTCTTCTGACCGATTCGATGGGCACGACCCATGGCTTGCAAGTCAGCCTGGGGATTCCAATCGGAATCGAAAATAACAACAGTATCGGCGGTCATCAGGTTGATGCCTAGACCACCTGCTCTCGTGGACAGAAGAAAGGAGAAATCATCGCTATCCTCGGCGTTGAAATGGTTAATCGCCATGCGTCGGGGGCCTGCGGCAATTGTACCATCCAAGCGCTGGAACTTGTAGCCTCTCAGGGCCATGTAGTCGCTGAGGATGTCAAGCATCTTCACCATCTGACTGAAGATGAGAACTCTATGGCCGTCTCTCTTGAGTTTCGTCAAGAGTTGATCGAGAAGCATCATCTTTCCACTGCTGGCGATCAGACCTTTGATCTGGTCTTCTCGACGATTGCTGCCGGCTAGTACTCGATCTTCAGCACCGGCGAACATGTAGGGGTGGTTGCTGACTTTCTTCAACTCCATCATGATATTCAACAAGGAGTTCTTCTGACCAGTCGCGTCGGAGAGTGCCGCATAGTTTCTGGTGAGAATATTCTTGTAATACTCCAGCTGCACATCAGACAGCTCAACACGAATGATCTTCTCAGTCTTTGGCGGCAGGTCGGATTCCACTGTCTCCTTGGTGCGACGCAGGATAAACGGTGCAATGGATTTATGCAGTTCTTGCAACTTCTCTTGGGCATCATTGCCAGCTAGGCTCTCGAGTTCCTCATCGATGACGACTTTGCCGGGGTTCAGGAAGTCCATCAGTGCTGAAAGCTCAGCAAGGTTGTTTTGAATGGGCGTGCCGGTGATCAAAATTTTGCACGGAATTCCGAAACTGAAAAGTCTCTGGTACAATTGCGACTCCTTATTCTTGAGACGGTGGGCTTCGTCGACTAGCAGAGCCTGCCATTTGATTGTCTGGAGAAACTGCCAATCTTGAAGAATCATCTCGTAGGAGGTGATGAGAGCGTTGAACTTGGGCTTCTTCGGGTTGCCGTTGACCATCAGTTCGTTATCACGAATGGTAGTGCGAGCTGTCTCGTTTCCGAGGTATACAACATAGTTCATGTCAGGGGACCAGTTGTCGAAGGTATCCCCCCATGCGGGAATGACACTGAGAGGAGCGACAATGAGGAACGGGCCTTCTTGCTCTCGTTCGTTGCGAAGCCAGCTGAGGAACGAAACACTCTGAACTGTCTTTCCGAGGCCCATTTCGTCGGCGAGAATGACGTTGTTGGCGCGAGTCCAATTGAGACAGAGGAAGTTCAATCCTCTCAATTGGAACGAACGAAGTTCGCCTCCCTTGATGTATTCCGGTTGTGCCTCCAGCTTCTTCATTCTTGAACGAGTGTCCGGGTTCGATTCTTTGCGATCAGACACCCAGGAGCGAGAGGAGCGGTCCAGAAACTGGTCAATCTTGTCCTGAAACTCGGTGCTGATTGCAGACGCAGCTTCCCATGTACACTCGTCGTAGTAGCAGCCCTTCCACTTGACGAGGTACTCGTCCTCTTCTTCGCCGTCTCGAACTGCAACGACTCTGTCAACTTTGGTGAAGTCTTCCAATGCTTCTTCGGACCGTTCGCGCTCGAGGAAAAACTGCTCCTTGAGTTCTGGTGCAACATCCTCGCCGAATCGGATGTAGAGCTCGTTTTCCACGACCCTGTTGTGGTAGTTGTCGACTCTGCGATGTCCTCGTACCCCACGCATTGTGTCGATTGTCTCCCATGTGTCGTGCAAGTGCGACTTGCCTTGCCACTTGATGTAGTATTGAAAGTCGTCTTTGCGGGACAGGAGGCTGAGTTCGAGGTCTTCATCGTCTCTCAGCTTGTGTTTCAGTACTTTCTCGATGTAGGGTGAATCGTCAACTACGTCTGCGGCGTAGTAATTGGGTGTGAGCTCGGAACCGTCCTCTTCGTCATCGACATCGCTCTCCTCATAGGCGCCTTGCTGGACTTGGGCTGCGCGCCTGCTGGACCAGCGCTTCTCGGTGAGAGCAACATTTGGCTGCGCTTCCCGCTGGCGGCGTGCCTTCTTTTGTAAGCTTTTCGCGCGCGCACCGCCGTAGTTATCAGAGTCGGAATCGGAATCAATCGACGGCTGTCGCGCAGGTGTGCCTCTTTTCGATGCTGAAGAGATGAAGATCAGTATAGGTCGCGCCGAGGACATCAAGAAGGAGGGCAGCAGTGGAATCTTACATTGCCTTGAGGTTTCGACGCGTCTCCTTTTCACTATTCTCCGATTTGTAGGAACATCTGAATCGTCCGAGTCGTCTGAGGAGTCAACCTACCATCGCGAAATCGTCAGTCAGGGCCATCAAGATGAATGATTTGCGATGCTCACCATTTTGCGTTGTTGTGTTGGACGGGACTGCGAGCTTGGTCAGTGAACAGTATTACCTCGTGGGGTATTTAGGAACGTACACTTCTTCTCAGTCCGTACAGCTCTGGGTTAGCCTTGATGTAGTCATCCTCTCTGACCGCAGCCTTTCGCTTGGACGGACGCTGAGATTCGTTGGAACTGGAATGGGCGTCGGCCGCTCCGTCGCTTTGGGCGACAGATGCCACGTCATCGTCCATATCAAAGTCGGCATCATCGGAAGCATTGTTATCATCACCAGAACTCTCGCTTTCGGGGAAGTCGGGTGCTCCATTGCCATAAGCGGCCGAGTCGTTGGGATCCGGCGACGGCGACGATGAAACAGGGACTGCGGCATTATCGTGCATATCGGACAGGTCGCTATCGCTTTGGTGACCGCTGGCGACTATGGGAGAGGGAGAACCGCCCTGCGGCGACCGATACCCGTTTGTGGGACCGGGTTCGAGGGGGCTAGACATGACGATGGTCTAAGTCGAGGCTGCCTGCTATCGATGAAACGACGTTAGTCCAGTATTACCTAGGTGGGAGGAAGCAACACCAAAAGCGCGTAGCCACCGAGCTCCGGCGACTGGGAACATCATAAAAGAAGGGTAGCACGCCCGAAATAGATGGAGGAATCGCCCTCGTCGCATCGCGGGGACGCGGTTGATGGAGACGAGGCTGAAAATTGATGGCGATGCCATTGTGTCGGTCAGGAGAGGCAGGTGCGCTCTGACGTGACACTCAAGCATCGGAATCATCCAGAGAAGCCGTCTCCATCAGCTCGTGCGATTCCAGGGATCGGTGAGGTCATGCCCGATATGGAAATCAAGTTGCGAGCGCGACAGCTCGAGGCTGACTTGATGGCTCGCGACAGAGACTTGGCCTGGCCCTTGCAAGGCTAGTTCGCAGGATAGGAAGGAAACTTACACAAGTCATTAACGAATGGCCTCCAGGCAGCAAGTACCATTTATCAGGATCAGATGAGGTATTGAAGAAGGATGTGGACAAGTGACGTTGCGTGGGTTGTCCAGAGCCTGGCGGGTGAAGGGTGGTGGTGGATGGAAAATGTACTGGTGGAGAGGCAGGAAAGAATTGAGGTGGATGCACGGGTGAGGTACAGGTGGTTGTAGCGCTAGCCGCACTGAATCACCCCCAGAGGAAAGAGGTCGCACGTGATGGCCTCAGGCAGCGAGCCGCCTACCTTTCGAGGGCGCGCGGGCGCGCGGGCGGTACGTACCCCACCCAGATGGCCGGCCTGGCCCTGCCCTGAGGAAAGTCCGGTGAATGGACGAATAAGCGACAGAGTCAGGTCAGGAATGGTGGGGGCAATCAGCTCAAGGATGCTGTGTGAGGTGCACGCGCCGCCGCGTGCGGCCATTATTCACCGAGACTCGGAACCCCGCTAGCTCCGCGAGTTGACCGCTCCCGTCTTGTTTCTCCACCTTCGACAGCAACTCCGACGATGCCACGGGAAACGGTCGTTGATGGTTGGATTTCGAAGTTCTTAATTGATTCATAAGAATTACATAATTGAACGCACGAAATCGGTCTGTCTTTTGTTTTCCGGTTAGTAGGCCTCGGAATAGCGAATTCATTTTCTTCATTCAATGGCGCGACGGACATTGCTTGTTCAGATCCACGCTGTGACCTTACTCTGATGCATGGCGTCGGATATTCGCCTGGGTTTCAATACTCCCCCTTCGCTTGATAACTATGCAAGAGAGTTCTGAATATTTTGCAGTACATGGTGGTTTCTTTCTTGCGCCTGTCCACCTTTCCTGGCATGTAAATCCCCGACTAGTTACCCTCCGCGTGGTTTTCCATTCCAAGCGCGATAAATGTCCCAAACTACGCGGTTATCATGGCAACCGCATTTCAAGCTTGCGAGTATTGTCAGCGTGTATATTTCGTTGTCGGCTTGCATCATCTAGGCGCATGTGGCCATGAAGCAGATGCCCCAACGGTAGGGGACTATCGGTCTACTACGATATGGAGGTGAAGATATTGAACAGCACGGGTCTGCATCTGTTCCAAGTGCTTTGTCTACCGGTTTTCGATGAGCTCAGTAGATACTGTTTGGTTTCGCGTTTGTGTCGGCAACATATCGATATTTCTTTATCTGGGATGTAGCCCTAAATTCCAGTGACTCACATTTAATACTATGAGATCTCGGCATAAAGGCTGTTGTTCGTCGGGGTTAGCTGGTAATCTTTGAGGAGAAGAGTGAAACCGGTCTGAGTAGCCGTTGTGCGCTTCACTGAATGAAGGAAGCCAGAATACAACCATGCAAATATCCATAACATATTCGTCAACGGCAACAGAATTGGCTGCCATTAAATTGACCATGATCTTGCAGTTGTCAGGAGGCTGGACTGAGGAGTGTCCATGTTTGAATTTCAAGTAGCTAGATGGAACACGAATCAGAGCGTTCCGAGTGTGCAGTCGAAGAACATCAACAGCGAAACAAAATTGTCGGATGCCTGAATTCAAGAGTGAGACTCGAGCCAAGGTGCATTCTGCAAGTCATTGGAAAGAGTGGAGAGTGCCCTTTGGTCTCAAACCCCAGATTCATAATTGACAACCAAGAAGCGGTCAGCATCGTCCAAAAAGACGGCATACCTAGGCATCGGACGCTTCCAGGCCACTGAGGGCCAAGTGTTTGGCCTCACCAAGAAAAGAACAAGGCAGGTTGTGATGTCAGGTGCTGCAAGTTGCTTCCAAGTATAATCGCTCGTGTTTTGTGTGAATAACTACTTGGACGAGACCCAGCAGCCCTGTGGAGGGGTAAGGTGGCCGGTAGGGTATTGGAAAATGCCCCGCCAAAACCTGGGCATTTCACAACCAGTGACGGCGCACACAAATTGGATGACCGGCGCACTTCGCCGCCGCACCGTAGTCTCCCGTCTCAGACAAACACCAAAAACCTTTCCCTCCGTCAACCTCCAGAAGGCCAGGTCGTGACGCCTCGACAATCCTCCGCCGATTTGCCCGGTCCTGTTGCGAATTTTTCGCTCCTCGTTTCCGAAACCTCGACCGACCGACCGACTCCTCTTACCTCGCTACGCCCTCCTCCTCTTTTCTTATTTTTATTTCCTTCGCGCGCAGAAAAAAAAGCTGCCCCACCATCCTTTCCATCGTTAACCCCGCCCCGATCAGTCGGGCACCATCACCAACATGTCCGACAAACTCACCCGTGTCGCTATCGTGAACAGCGATAAGTGCAAGCCCAAGAAGTGCCGTCAGGAGTGCAAGAAGTCATGCCCTGTCGTTCGCTCCGGAAAGCTCTGCATCGAAGTCAGCCCTGAGTCCCGAATCGCCTTCTTGTCCGAGTCGCTATGCATCGGTTGTGGTATCTGCCCCAAGAAGTGCCCCTTCAGCGCCATTACCATCATCAACCTGCCCACGAACCTCGAGACCCAGGTCACCCACCGATATTCCGCCAACAGCTTCAAGCTCCACCGTCTGCCTATGCCCCGTCCTGGTAACGTCCTGGGTCTTGTCGGTACCAACGGTATTGGAAAGAGTACCGCCCTGAAGATTCTTTCCGGAAAGCTCAAGCCCAACTTGGGTCGCTACGACAACCCCCCTGACTGGGAGGATGTTATCAAGTACTTCCGTGGCTCTGAACTTCAGAGTGAGTACTCCCACACATCGACTTTTATTCGCCCCAATTAACCCCCCTTTGCCAGACTACTTCACCAAGCTCTTGGAGGACGACCTCAAGGCTGTCGTCAAGCCCCAGTATGTCGACCAAATTCCCCGCGCCGTCAAGGGCCCCATGAAGTCCGTGGAGGCTTTGATCGACGCTCAGTCCTCTCTCGGCAACAAGAAGGAGGTTTGCGACGTTCTGGAGCTCAACCACATCATGGATCGTGAGATCAACCTGTTGTCCGGTGGCGAGCTGCAGCGCTTCGCCATCGGAACTGTTTGTGTCCGCAAGGCCGACGTGTACATGTTCGACGAGCCTTCCTCCTACCTCGATGTCAAGCAGAGGTTGGCTGCCGCCCGTATCATCCGCTCCCTCCTCCGCGACGACGACTACGTCATTGTCGTCGAGCACGACTTGTCAGTCCTGGACTACCTCTCAGACTTTATTTGCGTCCTGTACGGTCAGCCCGCGGTTTACGGTGTCGTTACACTGCCCCAGTCCGTCCGTGAAGGTATCAACATCTTCCTCGACGGTCACATCCCTACCGAGAACCTGCGTTTCCGTGACGAGTCCTTGACCTTCAAGCTTGCCGAGGCCGCGGACGAGTTCAACGCCGACAAGAGCCGTGCCTTCAAGTACCCCAAGATGCAGAAGACTCTTGGCAACTTCAAGCTGAGCATCGAGTCCGGTGACTTCACCGACTCCGAGATCATCGTCATGATGGGTGAGAACGGAACCGGAAAGACCACGTTCTGCCGCATGCTTGCTGGTGCCCTCAAGCCCGACAGCAAGGCCCAGGTTCCCGAGATGAAGATCTCCATGAAGCCTCAGACCATCACTCCCAAGTTCGAGGGTACCGTCCGTCAACTCTTCTTCAAGAAGATCAGGGCCGCTTTCCTGTCCCCTCAGTTCCAGACCGACGTTGTCAAGCCCTTGAAGCTCGACGACTTCATCGACCAGGAGGTCAAGAACTTGTCCGGTGGTGAATTGCAGCGTGTTGCCATCGTCTTGGCCCTTGGTATCCCTGCCGACATCTACCTCATCGACGAGCCCTCCGCCTACCTCGACTCCGAACAGCGTATCATTGCTTCCCGCGTCATCAAGCGTTTCATCATGCACGCCAAGAAGACCGCTTTCATCGTCGAGCACGATTTCATCATGGCCACCTACCTCGCCGACCGTGTCATCGTCTTTGACGGAAAGCCCGGTATCGACGCCCACGCCAACAAGCCCGAGTCTCTGCTCACCGGCTGCAACTCCTTCCTGAAGAACCTCGACGTCTCCTTCCGTCGCGATCCCACCAACTACCGTCCTCGTATCAACAAGCTGAACTCCCAGCTTGACCAGGAACAGAAGATGAATGGAAACTACGTAAGTTCTCCCGCAAACATCTGTAGTGCAGCTCTTTAACGTGCAATTTAGTTCTTCTTGGACGACAGCGATAAGACGAGTTAAAGAGGGCATCCATACAGATGTTTTCCCTCCGCGTCACGATGCATTCGACAAAGGCGTTAAGGGCGTTCAAAAAGGGCATAAGCGGCAGCTGGGGAGGCGCGCTTCCGGCGGTCAAGGTCAAGGTTTGGGTTTAGAGGAGGACGGCGCGTCCGAGGACGACGACGCCGATGGTTAACAACGGCGACGGCAGTCTATCCCCTGTTGTCTGGTCCTATGGAGCGGGGAGGAGGCTTTCGCAGCTCAACATTTCCTGGTTGGGGCCTGGCCGTTTCTCGCTTGGCGACACTTGGTTTTGGAACAACCCGACTCTATAGATTGAGGGACAATGGGTCAAGCAGGGTGACTGCCGTCAGTCTTTGCTGCTAATTTTGCAGCAAGACTCGTAGATATACTAGAAATATGCCCGAGATATATCACAAAATGAGAAAGAAGGAAGAAGACCGTTGTTCAAAAGACAGTCTACTTTTTTTATCTTGATACGATACTACTACTTGCGATGTACGCACCTACAATTAGAGTAAAACGAGAGAGATACATACTAGCCGATGATACCGGCAATGCCAGATGGCGAAGCGGTCCCAGGTACCACATCCGGAGTGGCCGTGAAGAATATTGCCGAATGCAAGAGCGCTGAAGATGTAGGAATGGGACCAGTAGTCTCTGTAGGCGCAGCGGTCATCATGCTCTCAGCGACGGCTGGTGATTCCGATACGTACTCGAAAGTCACTCTAGTCTCCGCTGCCGTCCCGTGAATGGAGTTGACAAACGGCTTAGTCTTCCTCAATCTCGCCCTCCTCAGAGCCTGAGTGGACACCAGCGTCGTCTTTGTTGTTCTCGGCAGCCGGCGGCGCCGTTGTTGTCGTCGTCGTAGTTGCAGTCGCAGTCGCTGCCACGGGAGGAGGAGTCCTATTTTTGGTACGTGTTTCACGTTGGGGGGTGCGCTCACGGGGTGTTCTCTCTCTTCTGACTCTCTGCGCTGTCGTCAGTATGCTGGGTTGGTGGTGGTGATTTTTGAGATGCGGCGTACCTTTGAGTCCCTGGAATCCCGGCGGTCATCCTCGTCTTCCTCGCGGCGGCGGCGAGATCCAGAAGGACGCTCATCCCCATACGGAAGCTCGTCATAAGAATCCATGCGCCGGCGATAAAGTCGCTCACGCTCCTCTTCCCTGTCCCTCCTCTCGCGGTCGTAGTGGCCATCATCGTCGCGGCGGGAACGATGACGGTCATAGTCGCGGTCACGATCGCGCTCACGGTCTCTGTCCCTCTCACGCTCTCTCTCACGACGAGGGGGAGGCGACAAACGGCGGTCGCGGTCGCGGTCGCGGTCGCGTTCGGACAGGAGGCTTTCAGCCATAGTCGATTTGCGATGATTGCGCTCACGCTCGGCGATGGCCTTGCGTCTGTCCGCCTCGTACGCGTCTACCTCAGGGCTGCGACTTCGCCTAGTAGCACGGCCACTGCTACGATGAGATCGCTCACCTCTGGATCGGGGTCTCTCGCGGTACAAGTCGCGTTCACTTGAGTCGCGGCCACGTCGGCGACGACGGTCACGGTCGGCCTCTTCCTCCTTCTCGCGTAGCCTCCTCATGTGTCTGTCAAAGGCAGCGATGCGAGCGTCTTCGGATGTAACAGCCTGGAAGGCAGGCATGTCCGCCAAGCGAGATTTGACCTTCTCGTACGTGTCATCCAGAGTGATTGGGGGATCCATACGTTTCAAATAAGCACGGAGATCATCAGCGGCTCTGCGCTGCTGTCGTTCAGATTGTCGCTCGTCTTCGGATCGCTTGGACGACCGCTTTTCCTTGATCTGCGCATGTGTTAGCTTTCATATCGATACGCACGAGCTCCAGATACGTACGCGTTCAAGGATAACCACAAGTGTGTCACGATCAATGTTAGCAGTTCGTCGGTTCTTTTTGACAACGGCGTGGAACTCCTCAAACGTTGTCTTCGGGGTGACATCAAACTGTTCGTCCTGTGTTTGGGTCAGCATGCTGTGGTTTGATGAGGATTGGGTTGACATACATCGAGAACATCCAGAACGTCGTTTCTAGGGCCACGGATGGCCTTCTCTTCCTCCTCGACGAGATCCCAGAAGAGCTCCTGTGGCGTTGAGCCACCTTGGCCGGCCATGTTCTTGTATCGATCGTCGTTCTCGATAAGGGGGTGGATTTGGCGCCATTTGGTACCGGCATTAATCTTTCCGTCCTTTCTGAGTTCGTTCAGAAGCGAAAGGAAAGCGTCGCGCGCCTTGCGCTCCTTGCGGAACTTCTTGTTCTTCTGCTCCTGCTTAGAGTCGTTGAAAGATCGTTCCAAGGCCTTCATATGGTTTTGGAATGCAATCAGGATGTCAAACTTGCTAAGGGTCTTGTACTTCTCATCGTTTTGGAAAGGCGTCGTGGACGAAATGAGGCCCTGGGCATCAGACCAGCGCGTGTACGGCTCCAAGCTGAGCTTCGGCAGAAGGTCGATCAAGCCGTCCATGGCGGTCTTGCGCATAGCTGCCTGGTTTTCCACGTGTGCTTTCTTCAGCTCAATGATGTACTCCTCGAAGAGCTGGCGGCGCTCGTTTTCGTTGTTGGTGGATCTGAAAATGGTTTCGCCCTCGATCATGGGGCGAGCGGTCTTCCACCGGGTGTAGTGCTTGATCTCAGGATGACGCTTGAGCATGGTCTCGAAGTCAGTACGCAGCTTGGTCAGTCTCTCCTTGGCGCGCTCCTTGTCTTGGACGATCATGTCATGACAGTACTTCTCGAATGCCGCTTTGCGATCCTTCGGATCCTTGATGGCCCTGTACTGAGGATCCTTTGCGATGGTACGCAACGCCTGCTCCCAAGTCCAGTCAGACTGGACGCCGCTGCGTTTGAGAAGCTTGACGAAAGCGGCCTCGGCCTCCTCCTGTGTAGCATATTCGGGGTCGTTGCTCGCAGGAACGAAGGCCTTGGCATTCGTGTCGTTGCCGTACGTCAACTGGCGTGACTCGGGGTATACATCACGGTCGCGGTCGCGGTCGCGGTCGCCGCGGTCACGATCACGATCGCGATGATCACCGCGATAAGAGTCGTATCCAGAGTTGGAATACCTATCGGGGGGGCCGCCTCGGTCGTAGGATGATGCGGGACTATGACAGTTAGCTGGAGCGGCAAACGGTGAGAATTGGTATCCATACGCAGGCGCTGCAGAGCCGCCGGTGGCGCCCAAAGCTGCCTTGTACGCCTCCGGCATCTCCCACGAGCTCGTCTTCGTCTCGGTGTTGTACCAGTACTTGCGGCCGCCTTCCGCGGTGTACTCCTTCCACGGCTGGTTCGCAAGAGCTCTCTGTGGATGAGTTAGCATCTGGTTTGTAGCGTTTTGTTTGCATGTTCTTAGGGGTTTCATACCTCAGCAGGAGACATCATGTCCTCCGGCTTGGTCCATTGCGTGACCTTGGTCGCAGGGTTGTAGTAGTAGGCTCGACCATCAGGAGTGCGGTGCTCCTGCCAGGCCGCCGGCGGCTGGCCGTATGGGCTACCAGCACCGTTCATGGCGAATTCGTCGATCGAAAATGGTACGGACGTATAAGTACTAGAAATTCGTAGTTTGGCGCTTCAGCGGCGAAAATGGTGAGGCTCCCAAGATGCTGTGGACGACCTCTCGAGTTGGAGAATGGAGCAGTCGTCGCGCAAGGAACGCGAGAAGAGGCTGCGAATATTTGCGGAATGAGCAATTTGGCGCTTGGGTGCACGGACTGGGGTAGCGTGCGGGATGCCCCATATTTCTCTTGTCAAGCCATATGGATGCTACGGATATTTTCCGCTGAGGTAAGTCGCGCAGGAGACCAAACGCACTGTGCCAGCGTCGTTGAACCCTGCAATCCAAACTGTCTGCAACTCACCTCAATCCATCGGAGCTCTCACCGAGAGCTGTACCACGCTACATCCATCGCCATTGAGAACAACAACTTCAGTCGGGTCCCTCTATCGTTTTGTCCCGTTTTGTTCCGGATACCATAGCGTTGAAGCATTTGATGAGTTCAGATTGCCGCCTAAGACCAGTTGGTGTATAATCTCTTATGCCGACAGGGGACACGGTTGTGAAACTGTCCTTTCACTGAGTCTCATAGTTGAGCATGAGCCGCAACATCACACAACAAATCAGGTAGCCCATAATGGCTACAAACGAGCACAGACGAGAGCCTGCCGAAGTGGAGGACTTCATAGAACACGCGTTTCTCACATACATTATCCCGAAAGCAACAAACCTCGACCTCGAGGAAGCCTTCAAAGATGTCGAAGATACGCAGGCCTACTTTGACAACATCGAGCGACGGGAAAACCTGTTTTTTGGTACAGTCTCATGTAATCTTACTCTACCAAGCTATGCAATGTTAACGACACGCAGATGAGACTGTCGACGTTCTTCTCGTCTTGAGAGCACCCCTTGTCGATGAAAAGACGCTGCGCTCACATTTCAGCCGACTGGTCATCTCACTAGAAACCCAAATCGTCAACAGCCATGCCGCAGATCGAGACCATCCTTCGACAGACATCGTCTTCCAGGGCACCGTGGAAGACACCTCGGATCCCTTCATCGTGGTAGACGAACCCGATGACGGAAGCGAGAATAGCAACAAAGATGAGAGCGAGACAGAGACCGCCGTCGCCATCAAGAAGAAACCGGCCCACATCTATGCAGTCTGGAAGCTCCCTGTGTTCCTCGCTCGCCCCCGTATTCGCCTTCAAGGGCCCTTTGCAGTCTTCTCAGCCTCCGCCGGTCTCAAGCCGGCCTCAAGAGCTGCGTCCGGAACCTCCACCCCGGAACGCATTAACGGCCGCAGCAAGCATGGCGGAGGCTATCTCCAATCCGGCGTGCCATCAGGCCTCAACCTCCTGGAGCCTTTCAGCAAAGACCCGGGACTCGGAGGTATCGCTCCCCGTCTCTCTGCCCTGCGCGTCTCTCGCGTCGCTCCGGTCACCCAACCCAAGGATCATACGCGGCCCCTTCGCGCCCTCAACAGCGTCCGCGTCCGCATTTTCCCGGCAGTCCACACCCGCGTGCGCTTCTCCCGGCCAAACACCATGCCGACCTCACCGGCCCTGATAGCCCTGCTCGAAGTCGACTTCACGTCATACTTCGACTGTCCCGTCGAGCTGACCAGTATCCGTCTCTCCGTCGCTGACGGTGGTTTAGTCGAAGACCTCAACGCACCAGAATCCTCAGGGCTCTCCCTTCCCATGTCCTGCGTGCCCCATGATCACGTAACCTTTCTCTACCGCCTCTCTCCACCGCAGCAACCCGATCTGCCCTCCTCCAAGAACCCCAGCCGCGATCTCGATATCCACATCGAGGCTATAGTCCAAAGACAGCCAGGCCTATGCACCCCTCGGCTGACCATGAACTGGTCCACAACACTCGATTTCACACTCCCTGTCAACCCGGGCTTCAACGCGGCCATGCAACCAATGCAGCCCATTCAGCGCTCTCACCGCCCTTCCCAGCTCTCCATAAGCGGTATTGAAGCAGCGCAGTCTCTCGTGGCGCCGGCAGTCAGCAGGCCCGATTCCCTCCCTTCCCTCGAGGCGGCAACGCGCACAGTCGAAGCGCCCCTGCCGGAGTTGGGCATAACCATGACCTTCTGTGGGCCCCAGGAGCCCATCTACGCCGGCGAAATCTTCGCATGGACGGTATACGTCGTGAACCGTGCCATCGAAAAGCCCAATGTCCCAGCCCTGCCGCCGCGCAAGCTTGCCCTCGTCGCAATCCCCAAACGCAGACGCAACGAGGTACGCCTCATGCGTCCGCCATCGACGAGTGGGAGGAGCAAGAAGGCTGTCGATGGCAAGGAGCTTGCGGACGCGGTGTTGGACGATAACGTTCTGCACGCTATGCAGCGCAACTCCGTTGTTGAGTCTACCGAGGTCGTCTGCTTGACCGCCGACACAAGAGTTGGCCCTCTTGCTCCTGGAGCCTGCCATGTTGTGGAGCTCAGGTTCCTGCCATTGAAGACGGGAATCGTAGACATCGAGGCCATCAGAGTGGTCGATCTGGGGTCTCAGGAGCATGTAGATGTGAGAGACTTACCCATCATGTTTGTAGGACAACGGCCCGAGGAGGAAAAGACGGAATGAAGACGTAATAGATGGGACCTGCTTGATGTGTAACGGCTCCCTATTCTTTTATAAACCTAATTTACTCCTGGTTGTAACGTGCTAACCTCTCGGGGAATGCAATGCAATGCTACCCAGATGCAAAGAACTAGGCTCCACGCAGTGCTGTGGTATGTCATGTTCGTCAAGTGTGTTCCTCCTGCCCTAATCCTTTCAATGACCCTGCCGAAAGTTTCAAAATGCCACTTGGTATCTGTATGCCGGTAATTCCATACACGCCTAACAATGCAATCGCACATCATTACAAGTCATCAAAGTCGTCATCCCATCCCAGTTGTTCGTAAATCGACTTGGGCTTCGCTTGCGGCGGCGGCGGCGGCGGCGGGGTGGCCTTCGCCATCGGTGTGGCCGCAACCTCATCTCCAATTGTATCCCTAGTTCTCTGTTTGCATGGCGTCGCCGGGAGACCCACGTCTGGCGATACTGATCGTGCCGGCTGAGGCCGTTCGCGAACCACGCTCGCAGGCACACTAAATTGCTGCGTGATTGCAGGTTTCCTCATCATCAGAGGAGAAGAAGGCGGAATGGCAGGCTCGTTATCCGGGGAAGGTCCTCCAAACCGCCCGCTGCGCTTCACAGGTGTAACCTGAATAGCGGAGGACGGTGTGTGGCCAACAATATCAACATGACCTCTACGTGGCCCGGTCGATGGTATTCTCGATGCACTAGAAGGGGGAATGCTCGACATCGGAATCACATCACTGCTAGAGGCCTTCGGTTCCGCCGCCAGAGCATCGCGGAAGCGGTGGTTGGCTGGCGTCACCTTCACCTGAACTGGGTCAAAGAGAGGGTGTCTCGTCGGTTTCTTGGATTCTGCATATAGGTTAGCTATTGTCGAACATAACCAGGAGTGAGACGCACTCTTAATCGAAGACAAACCGCCAGAACTTCGTTTCTCAGCATCTTCAACGATGGCTTTGCCCGCCATTTCACGGTTCGGCTTCCGCAGGGCCGTGATGGCATTCTTCAATTCTGCCTCAACCATGGCCTTCTTCTGCGCCTTAGCATCGTCTAGAGCAGTCAGGCTGTTACTCCTGGAGAGCAGGCTCGTCCTGTCCACCGATGACCTGCGATCAAGATCACTGGTCTCCCGCTTGAGCCCAGGGATACTGGCTGATGTTGCGGATCTCAATAATGCAATAGCATTGCCGGGGCCTCTGGAAACACTACGACGAGATTGTTCCTTGAATAGAGCCTTCTCGATGTTTCTTGAAGCAGGCTTAGCGGCAGGCTTAGCGGCAGGCCGTTTTGCAGCGGCACCGGGCTTCGAATCAGACTTGCTGGAAGAAGGCTTCGCTCTGGGTTTGGGCGGAGCAATGATAACAGGGCCACCAAGCTTGCGGTTGATCGAGTCGCAAATCTTGGACAGTCGAGCAGCAAAGCTGTTTGCATTAGCAGGAGAAGCAGCAGTGAGCCCTTAACAGAACTTACAATGGCATGATAATGTCGGTGCAGAAGTCCTTCAAAGGATCCGACGATGCCTTCTGGGCAGGCCCTCCATCAGCCGGAGCTATCACCTGTGAATCCTCCAGTAGTCTCATTTCATCAGAAGCTGTCGACTGCCAGATACACAACCGGTCGGCGTGCACATCCACTAGAACAGGGAAGTTATGCTTGCTACGCTTCTTCGGCTGAATTTCAGAAGCCTTCTCGGCATCGTCTACTGGCAGACCTGGCAGTTGGCTCTCTCCCTCTGCATCAGCTGCCCGCAATGGCTCTAGTGCAAGAATCTCTAGAATGAGAATCATTTGCAACTGGGTCTCACGAGTCCTGAGCAGCGAAACATGAGACTTGATCTGAGCCGGGGTGATGGTCACATCATCGTTCTGGAGCTCCGGCTTGTTCGTATCCCACCAGTTTCGGACGTGATCATCCTCACCTGGATACATGCCATCCTTTCCAAGCTTCATCTTCTTGGATTTCCTCTTCTTCAGTTTGCTGCCTTCGTCGGAGATGTCCACGTGGGTCTTCATTTTAGAAATTATATCGGGTACCGTCTCGCGGTATTTCTTGTCGATCTGAACGGTGGTCATAACGAGACTCTTGAGGAATTCGATAAGGTCATCCATGTTCATAGTGCCGTCGCAGTCGAGATGGAACGCAGCTCGCGCTCGAGATAGCGGTCCTTTTGCAAAATACGCCAGAGATCCCTGAGAACGCCTTAGCCAACTTTCTCTTCCGCAACAGACAAGTAAGGATTACCATCGACTTGTATAGCGCCTCCATATATTGTGTTCTGATGTTTTCCATAATCTCACCAGGTGTCTGTTGGACGTTATGGTCACGAATCGGCTGCGGGGCAGCCTGGACGGCGTCCAGATGTGTCTCGATCCATTCCATCGGCTCAGGCTTCGTCTCGATTGTCTGAACAGGATTGACGCTGGGGTTCAGCCCACTAGGTGTCTGCGGGCGCGAAGCGTTGTCATCATCGGACTTGGTTCGCTTCTCCGCTCTGACTGCATCGTCAAAGGTTGATACCGACTGGGAGCGCGCTCTTTTGCGCACAATCGACTGGAGCGCCTCGATCGCCATGCGCTTGTCTGTGTGTCCCTTGTTCTGTCCAAATGTCACAAGCGGCTTTTCTCGCTGGCTGTCCAAAAGTTGGAACTCCCGCATCTCTTCAGCTTGCCTGATGCGCGCGACATGTTTGCCGGTGACAGTGGCCTTCTCGGCCAGCTCCAGCAAATCTACCCAGGAGCCGAGTTTACAAACGGCATAGAGGGATTTTTGGGAGCCAGCAGCGCGTTCGATTGCGTAAAGTGTCTTCGAGGCTTCGTTGCGTGCGAGGAGGAGGCTCGGCTTGTCCGCTACGCGATCTTCGAGGTCGAGAATCTTGATGTGTGAGTCGTAGAAGCGGCTGGAGGGTAGGTCGCTATGGGGCGTGCCGAGGTCGAGGTAGGAGAGGGAGAGGTCTTCGCGGGGGAGCAGCATGAGCGGTTGCAGGGTGCATGGCCTCGCCGTCATGCTCGGGGGATACGCCTACGCGACAGTAAGTGATGAATTCCAACCTCCACAACGCGACGAGTGCAGGAAAGACTTACCTTGACAACAATTGGAAACCTAAGCAAGTCTACCAACGCATGAGAGCCGCTCCGCCTCCTGTGCATGCTGGGCTCGGGTAGCGGCGTCGCATTTTTGGAGTTTAGAGAGCCATCGGAACTAGGGGTGAGGATTCCCGATCTTTGACGCGACGCGTCTGAGGGCGGGAACAATTTGGAGGAAGACATGTAATCATGGGAGGTGAATTAAAGGTAAAACTTGAAAGGGTACTCTTCTAAGATGACAATAAGCTCAAACAGAGTCCATTGCACTGATATCGGAGGGAGTAGGTGGAAATGCAGCGTAATGTTTGTTGGGTTGGAGTGGGATGTAGACCTAGGTGTGATTTCACTTCCATGGGAAAATGCTTGTGTGGCGTCACGCGTCACTGCAATGCCAGGATCAGCGCGGTAGGGGTCATCCAGGTCTTCAGCGTGTCACCCCAGGAGCGGCTAGAATTTTGGAGGGGCCGGCCCGGTCCCACCAACAACAACACCAACCTAAAATCATGGAACGTAGGCCGACACTTCACGATCACCATCTTTAGACGTTGCTTTGCAAGTATTACTCAAGTAATCTCGCGCCATGATTTGCCTTTATGTCTTTTTAATGTCGGATTGGTACCATATCACACGCTAACTGGAGCGAACAGCATGTCCCCAGCAGTCGTGATGTCCTTCTGAAAAAAGAAAAAGAAAGGCCAAAAAATAACAACGAGCTGCCTTGAGAATTATGCAGGATCACCGAACTCAAACCCTCGAGCTTTGCCCAACCTAGGCATACGATTCCACCCCTAGACCGTCTTCACCAGTGGCCTTGCTCGTCGTTGAAGGTCACCGGACGGGAGGTTTCTTATGAGGGCTGGACTTTCGTGGCCCACACTTAGGTGAATGCTCGCATCTTTGACGTAACTGCTTCCTAAGCTAAACAAGAGGTGATTGGCCCAGGAGATTCTTCATACGGCACTAGTACATTGCCCATTTAATGGATCTTATTTTCTCGCGTTGATACCTAACCGTGGCGTTGCATTACGTTTGTAAGGGAAACCTGTGATTAGAGGCCTGCTTGGCGTCCCGATCCCTTAATGAGCTCAACGTGGCGATAAATCAGTGATGAGCCTTTACCCAAGGGATTCAGGCCTTTTCCACATGCTACTCAAGAAACTCAGTCCACTAATTTCTCGTCCCATGTACTCCATGAACAGTGAAGAAGGAAAATCTAGCTCCAAATGTCTGCCTTTTGTTGCGTGATGAGGGAAGTCGTCTTGCACAGTATGTGGTTCTTTTCAATATAGCTTCTATGTGAAATTGAACAACAGGAACATCAAAATTTGGGCAGACATAAACGTCACGAGTACGCACACTCATGTAAAGTAGTTCAATCCAATTTCTATAAGAACAGGGGGGCTGGGCATTGTCTTAGAGAACCTAAAGGAACAGCAACATTTAATTTGCTAGGAGGAATTGACAAGCTCGTGCAACACGCATGTTTTATAGCTGAGGCCCATTGGCAAAGCCGGTGAGGTCATCTGTTAGGTACAGCAAGAAGTTGCTGAGATTATGTTAATTTCTGATGGGCTGATGGATCTCTATCTCATGAATTGTATAACTCCAAAAAACCATAATGTGGTATTTCACCCAGTAGCGTCCCGGTCATATATATATCATTAGAAACTGCTACATGAATAAAATAGAACGACGGCTTACTGAGTTAGTAGATATTTAAGTGACGATACGCTATACAATACATCCCACTGCTGAGAAAGACATAGACCTAATGCCAATGCTATACTTATTGGATAAGAATTCGCCTTTGACAAACGGTTAAAGTCTGTCTATACTCTACAGGAGCTTCAATAGGAGCGGGTTATTACCTCTAAGATATAAAATTTTGTTCATTTTATCTACCTTTCTCCCGCCTTAATGTCATTATGGTCATGTGAGTTTAGATATTTTAAAGAAAATGGAGTTGCTCAGATAGCTCAGTGCTTTCTCACTCCATTATGATTCAATGGAGCTTTTGATAGCTAAAGATTCTAGCCGTCCTTTCCCCGGCTCTTATCCATAATGTCCAGTTGACCATCTATCAGGTACTTCTGCCTGAAGTCTGGGCAGCACACAACAGTAAAGAGTAACGGACATAGTAAAAGACAGATGCCTACATGGCAGGATTTGATAAATCACAAGAGACCCATGCTTCGACCTAGCATGTGTCTCATATTTGCTTTATCTCTTGTTAAGATCCTCAATTCGGGGGACAACAGGCGTCAAGCCCTTGTGAGTCTTAAGCGGCGCTGAAACTTAGAGTCAAGTGTGCAGAAAATGAGCAAAATGCGATATACAACAGCGGGTGCGAGATGAACCTGTCAATCCAGCAATAGATTATAAGCATCACGAGATTTGGGGCGGTCGTAGCTCCCCGCCCTTTGCCACGTACCTACAAGGACAGCTTCGCCATGGTAATCTGCCACATACGACCATACCCATTGGAAAACTCGGGATCCCGTCCGCTCTCCCATAGATAAGCCAATGAGGGCCGGATTAGTAGTTGGGTCGGTGACGACCAGCGAATACCTGGTGTTGTATGTTTTTTGCTGGTTCCACGCCCGTTTGAGTGGGTCACGATGGCTTCATTTTGCCTGTCTAAAGGTACCAACTGCGCGCATACGCGACATGAAGACAAACCCTGAATTAGAGGATCGAAGTTTCCATGTCCCTCCGGGGAAGCTCACCAAAATATTTCACTAATTCACAATGAGTGACTCTCTGACGACGAAGGATGTCGCAGAGGTTGGGCTTGAACGATACGGTCCGTCCGCATCTCCTTCGGAGACCTTGGATTGGATCACGTAACTGCAGACCCTGACGGCAGATCAAACATCAGAAGTCAACGCTGAAGTTATATCATCTGAAAAGGCGAAGCAGTTGACAAGTTCCGCAACATCTTAAGAAGGCGCCCTGTAACATTCTGAGTCGTGTCGAGGGCAAGTCCCCAGCTCTGCTCTCGATGCCTCCTTCTCCGAAAACCAATTGAGCAGCAAGAGAAACTACCCCAGATATGACATGAACCCTAGGTAGCCTCAAAATGCCCCAGACCCGGCGTTCGTCAGAGGCCTGAGGCAGCCCGTCGACCTGACCACGCGATAACCCGCCACGTCCTCGAAGAAATACCGAGTTTTAACCCACGATGCAATATGTGCTCCTTGTAACCGCGATGGCCGCCGACAAGCCGCGAGTTAAGCTTCAACACAGTCAGTCATGTCGCACGACGCTCGCGGTTCTGGAAGCCAGAGGGAGACGACCACGGTCATGGAGGATCAGGAGAAACCCGGGGTCGAGAACATGACTTACTCTACCGCTTGCAAACCAAACACACAAGGGTAGAGGTTTCTGCAAACACAATCCCAGTATGGATTGCAGAGCCTCGGTACTGCGACTCGAAACCGTCGCATGCGAAGATCGTTGCTTCACATTTCTCGTGTTCTATCAATTCCTTCATTTGCTTGGCCGGTTGCTCTGAGAGTCGGTTTCCGTGGTGGGCTTCCGGAGCATGGCATAGGGACAAAGAAGGCATGTAACGTTGAGGGAAACCACTCAGCTTCCAGGAGAGCTTCCTTTTATTGTCAATAAACGATTCAACCCATGTCACCAACCCGCACACATGCTCCAGAACTTCATATCAAATAAGAAACCTTTTGTATAGAGCCTCTACCAATGGCTCATGCATGCCAGATTTTACGAATAACAATCCCAGATAACCTAATCACCCTTTTCCTTCCGTCCCAGCCTAAGCGCTGACGAGCTCCATCTTGACACCTCTCTTGCCAGTCGCCTCGTCCTTCTCATCCGTAACCTTGACCTTGACCTTCTGGAACAGCTCGACCTTGAGCTTGCGGCTGCCGGTCGTCGTGAGGGTGTAGCTCTCCGCGTCGTAGACGCTATCGGGCTCCGTCTCGGCGAGGTCGCGCAGGCGGATGAGTCCCTCGATACCGAACCTCGGCACAAGCACGACGAAGCCGTTGCTGAAGACCTTCATAACGAACGCCTCCTCCTCGGCCACCTTGCCCTTGAGGGCCTGGCCGACGTAGTACGCGATGCTCGCGCGGCCCGCGAGCTGGGCGTTGCGGTGCCGCACGTTGATGTTCTTGCACACGGCCTCCAGGCGGCCGCGACTGCGGACCGCCGGATGGATGGCCTCGTAGCCGATGGCGGCGGCGAGCTGGCGATGGGCGACCAGATCGGCGTAGCGACGGATCGGGGAGGTGAAGTGGGTATATATCTCGGAGGCGAGACCATAGTGGCGGAACTCCGGGTACGCCTGGGTGCCGGAGCAGAAGTACTCAGCCGACATCATGCAGCGGGTGGCCATGATGCGGACGAGGGTGTTGAAGAAGGGGTTGGCGGGGTCCACGCAGGTGTCGAGGGAGTCGGCGAGGGCCTTGCTGGAGTCGACGCGGAGCTCTAGGCCCTTCTTGACGCGCAGCTGGTCCGCGAGCTCGTCAAAGTTGGTCTTGGGGGGTGCGCCGTGGCGACGGAGGATGGCGGTTTGAGGGAAGGCCTCGTAAATCTTCGTTGCCACGCTGACGTTGGCGAGCAACATGAACTCTTCGACCAGGGACATGGTGTCGAGGTGCTGCTTCGTCTTGACGTCGATGGGATCTGATGTTTCCGACTCCATCTGGACCTTGACTTCGGGAGACGACAGGCTGAGAGCACCGGCGTCCATGCGCTTCTGCTTGAGCTTCTTGGACAGCGCAAGCAGCGTTCTGATGCCGGTCGTAAGCTCGTCCTGTTGAGAATCATCGTCGACACGAAGCTGCGCAGCCTCGTAGCTGAAGGCCTCCTTGGACTGGATGACAGATTTGGTGAAGCGCACGCTGACGATGTCCGCGTCCGCGTTCATCTCCCAGATGCAAGAGAAGGCGTAGCGCTCAACGTAAGGCTTGAGCGAACACAGGTCTGTACCCAACAGCATGGGCAACATGTCAATACGCTTGTCAACGAGGTAGACAGTGGTACCACGCAGACTGGCCTCCAGATCCATGGCATTTGCAGGCTTGACGAAGTGAGACACGTCTGCGATATGAACACCGACCTCAAAGTTGCCGTTGGGAAGTGGCCTTGCGTGAAGAGCATCGTCGATATCTTGGCAACCGATGGGGTCGATACTGCAAATGAGGAGCTTGCGAAGATCCTCTCTGTCCCTCCAGCCTGGGTCTTCCAAGCTTTGTGGTACTCTCCAGTCATGGCCCTCCTTAGGCAGGCAGTCTAGTACAGTCTTAGGGAATGGCCGGTACTGCACATCGTACTCCAGCAGCAGAGCCTCCGTCTCCGCCGCCTTGGTCTCGAGCTCTCCCAGCGAGCGAACAAAGTGGCCGACGGGATGCCTGGAGTCGCGCTCCCACGCATCGATAGTGACCAGCAGTCGCTTGCCGAGAAGCTCTGAGACTTGCCTGGAACGCAGTTTGATCTTGGGAATACGCTTGTCCATCGGGATAAGGAAGACATTGTCCTGTTTGCGGCCCTGACCGCCGGCCTTGCTTGCTGACGAAGGATCGATGTGCCCAACGTACTGTCTCCAGTTGCGCTTGATGATACCGACGACCTTCGCTGTTGGTTGCGCGCGACCTTCGGTGCTCTTGCTCTGAGTCTTCTTGACTTCTTCCTGCAGCGCCTTGCGCTCCTTTTCCGATACGAAATCCTGGGTCTCCTCGACCTCATCAGCGTTCTCGTCACGCGTGATGGCTTCCTCTTCAATGATCTTCGTAGACGGCTCCTTCCACTGGTCCTTGGGCAGAACCTCGACAACGACGACGTCACCGCTGACGGCACGGTTGATGTTCTCTCTTCCAAGAACGATCAAGGGCTTGGGAAACGCAGGAACGTTGATGGAGCCTTCCAAATAGTTGTACGGAGAGACGTTGAAGTTTCCCTGATGCAACAGACCGGCCTTGACGCCAGTCATCATCTTGGACATGGTGTAGTACTCGGGGTACAGAGGGCCGGCGGGCTTCTTGGAGAAACCCGAGCTCCTCGACTCGGCAACCATGTCCAGCAACCTCTCGCCGTCTTCGAGACCGCCGACGTACTCGGAAAGTGACATGGCAGCCACGCCTTCAGCCTTGGCCTTCCTCAGACAATCCTGGTCATCGCTGAGCATGACGACGGCAGGGACCTTCTTGGACTTGGTCTGCGCCAGGTGATCCGCGTACCACTTGACGGCCTTGCGGACGGCACGGTCATTGCGGTCGTTGACCGTCTCGTTGGCCTCGCGGTTGACGTACGTCTCGAGGCGGAAGTCGTTGAAGAAGACGTAGAAGCGCTTGTCCTCGCTCTTGGTCAGGCCGACGAGGCGGTTGTACAGCGGCAACGAGCGGTTTCTGAGCTCCTCGAGCACCGTCTGCAGGATGACAACATCGTAGAAGGCCGTGCTCTGCTCAAAAAGGTCCATGGCGTTCAAAAGCGCGTTGGTGTCGGGGACGATATAGTGCCCCTGAGGGAACGCCTTGGTTCCGGCGGGCTTGTCCGAGAGGACGAATGGTTGGACTATTCAGATCTTATCAGCGAACGTTGACTCCTGTCAAAAAGCGAGACGTGCGTCACGTACCGTTGTTGGCCGCATCTCGGGGGGCCGTCTGCAGGCAGCTCCGGCATAGCTTGGACGAGCAGGGGATGTCTTGACGCAGGTAGACCTCTCTCACAATCTTCTGGACCTTGCCCTTCCTGGTGGACCGGACGTAGACTTTGCTCGAGATATTGGCGGCGAAGGGGTCCGCCTCGAGCGAGCGTTTGAGACTCGTCATTCTGTTCTCGCGTGTCGACTTATCGCCGTATTCGCAAAGGTGAATTGGCGTTGCGGGCGATGAATCTTTGTCGTCGAGATCCCTTCAGAAAGCCCTTCTCGATGATGAAAATTGGTCTGAGTGAGGCGCGGGGCGGCTGACAAACGAATCAGAGGCGTCCGTTCCATTGTGGCGCTTGCATTTCTTATCGGAACTCTTCTGTCTTGCTTATCTCTTATCGATAACAAGACCCCAATGACGACGGCACGCGGCCGAGACATTGAAGTGTCTACGTATCTATCGGACTTCCAGCTGCTTTCCATCCCGAATTGTGCTTCATGTCGTGTATCCCAAAAAAAAAATTAATATCGTTGTGCGCCTTCCAGCAGTAGCTTGGTGCGAGACCGAGACTATTCTGGTACGTACAATGGTCTCAACAAGGCTACCTCCTCGGCGATGACAACCTCATGGGGACCAAAAAAAAAGAAATCTTGTGATTTGAACAAGAGCCTCGGGTGTGGCTGGTCCGAATACTCCTATAGATCAGGCAGCCAAGACCGTCCTCATCATCAATATTGAAAATACGCTGACGGTCTAGCCTTGCTTCGGCTCCGTGTTTCCAAACAAAGCACATCCTCGCCCGTGAGCAGAAGCTGCCACGGGATCACTCAACACCCGATCGCCGGACATCGAAATCTCATCTGCCTCGGAATCGCTTCCTTGCAGACCAAAAAGACGAGACAAGTCGCAGTGTCATCCAGAGCAAGCCTTAACGTCAAGGCCAAAGTAACCAAAGCAAACCCCAAAGGCAACTCGAGAATTCGCCGGATCCCGAAGTTGCCTGCCCTATCCCCCGACCAGTACCGTCGCACGGCATCGTTCCCGAACATCTGTTTCTCCCTTCTCCCCGGTTCCCGTCCTGCGCCTCGCGGAAGAGCGCGTGCTACCCCAGAGGAACCTCACCCGTCGCACAAAGGAAACAACGAAAAAAGAAAGAAGGGCTTGCTTCATCCCATCACATCGAGAAACAACCTCCCGTTTCGCAGAACCCCCACCCCAGAGTCCGTCCGTACGCGGTATGCAGCCCGTACAAGGTACTGTAGAGTGCCCGTGTTCCAGCCAAGGGGAAAACAGTGGACTGTGGCGACGGATAAAAAAAATCTGACCACGGATACAGGAGTTCAGTTCAATACTCTTCCAGCTGCTGCTTACCCATCATCAGCCGCTTCTTATTAATCGGGTATCTGCCCATTGCATGATCTGCAATGAGAATTTCGCCCGGCTCATTTTGCTGTTTGAAGCGAGCTTGGCCTGGATCGGCCGCCCTCCGATGCCGTGGCCCCAGGTGGCCGCAAGCAGGCCATGCCTGTCGGGAACAGTGGCACTCTCTCATGTCAGCGTCGCAGCATCTTGTGGTCCGTTCCTCCAGATCTTACAAGCAGAAGCGAACGTTCCGCCCGAGATCAGGCTACGTCTACATGGTAGGCACAAGATAGGTGTTTCCTGTTTGGAAGGTAAAGGAAATAAAATAAATTCTCATCATCCAGGGGAATAAGTGTTCCAGCTGCAGGGGAGATGAGACGTCAGTCCAAACATGACTTCTCAGTGGGCTGGAAACTCGGCGACATGGGAAAGCTACGTTGGCCGTGAAGCAGATAGCATTTTGGCCATTAAACCTCCTGGCGTCACTCTCGGCCGGAAAGCCGGACTCGATGCATTGCAGAGCCAAAACCGGGGTTTGTGGCTGACTGGAGACCCTTAAAAGTTTGGACATATCACCTTTCTGCAGTCCCGAGGACTAACAACAGAAGACTAACATCAGTCGAGGAGGTGACGGGAGGCTCGAGAGCCGTTGCATTCGCCGCATCCGAGTCAGCGCATAAAGAACTAGCTGCGTTGCGTTGCAAGGCCGCCCCCGCAGTGCCCGTCGTCCGAATAAGGTCCAAGTGAGAAGGGCGAAGACAGGTCAGGATAGGCATAGGCTTGGCCACAACCCAAGAGCATCTGTGCGGAGGCGGGAGCTAAATCTCGAGGGCTAGTCGATGTTGCTTGTTTTACTTCGTCTCTATCGGGTATTCTCAAAGAATGTACCACTGACGGCTTACTGCGACAACGGCGATTGTGGTGTTATGTGGCTTTCGAAACGTATGTCTTCGTCGTGGTCGTGGTCGTCAGGTGGTATCTCGTCGGTCGGTGGTGAGTTGCACGGGCATTGCAGGTATCTAAGTGCCGAGGAAGGCGACAACTTGTTCAATCATCTGTCGTTCCGACTACCATCGTGTCGTGTAAGTAGGATCCAAGACATGCCACCTGTCCCGAATAGCTGGCCACTGGTCGGCATTTGGGTGGTCGAAAGAGAATCCGGCTGGGTGGCAGCGATTCCAACAGCAACGTCCGGGGCGGCTGGCTGCATGACCATGTGGCCTCCCGTAGGACCAGGCAACGGAAGAAGGAAGCGCTACAAGTGATGTGACTGAGGAGAAGCGACTTTGAAGCAAGACATTGACATAGATGGATGACGTCGAGTGTGAGTGATGTTGTAGATTTGGTTACATGGAATCTGGAAGAATGTATCAGAGTGCGGTACAAACAATCCGAGCATGGTTGAACGAGCAAATAAATGAAAACGAAGGAGTTGGTTAGCTAAACAACTAGCCACCCGATTAACCAATCAACCCCACGACAAGAAGTCCATATTATATCCGGACATCCTGTTGGCCACGGCCGCGGACGATGAACAAATTGCAAGTAAGGGGCGGATCTGTGAATGACTTACATATGTAGGAATATGCTGGGCCGGCTGGGGGTCCTTGGGTGGTGCCAGATGGTGGTGGTGGTGGTCGGCGATGATGGTGGTGGTGTTGGTGGTGGTGGTGGTGGTGGTGGTCCTTTGGCCGCGGCTCCACAGCGGCAAGACACGCGCCAGTGTACATTAGCTGCTGCGGCGGGCGGCTGCTGCGAACGAGAAGCGACTGAGATCGGAAGGGCCTGGTCTTGGACGGGTTCCTAAAAAGAAACGAGATGGACGATGGCCTTCTGCAAGCTGGGGGGGGGGGATGGGAGTGGATAGAGGGCGGGCCAGTGATTGAAAGATGGAGTGTGGAGGGGGGGATCCAAGGGGTGGGAAGTGTGAAGTGTGGAAGGGTTCCAGGTGTCCCCTAGAGCCAGACATGGGCATAGCATGGCATGGCATGGCATGGCATGGTTTGGTATGGGGAAGGCGAAGGGAAATGGGGAATGGATGAGCGTTTGGTTTGCTGCACGAGCGGGTAGCAAGGATTCCAGGGTAGCTCCCGCATCGCCAAAAAAGAACCCCAGCTTTCTTTTCTTTTCCTTTTCCTCACCTGTGAAGACAGACAGACAAACCCCTTCTGCTTCCCAGTCAATCACCGCGTGACTGCGTACGGACAGCAGCAACCAGCGCGCGGTACTGAACATCTAGATTTCAGTACTTCGGTAGGTAGGTAGGTATCCGTAGCCGCGCCCCATGTATGTGAAGACTCACTCGTCTTCCTGGGTGTTCCCATGCCGGTGGTCTTACAACACCCTCGGCCTCATGTTCGACCTTGATCGTCGCTCCCCGGGCTTCTTTCATCCTCGCCCACAAACTCGTCGTCTGTTCTAGAGCCATTCCCGACCGTTTGTGTGTCTTATTGCAGGCAGCCTCCATCGTGGCTGTCGTTCCCAGCCGATCAGATAGTCGAAACCTGAACCGAAGAGCCGGATATGGCATACACGGGCGGCCACACACGGACTCTGAGAGCGCAAATAAACAACTGTCGAACACGACAAAACGTGGGCTTCCGACCTATGTTAGGCCGGCTAACGTCTGCGAGTAGGTGTAGCGGCCGCGGTTCAACGTCAACAGTGGCAGCTCTTACTGCCTGAAGGAGTAGGGCGCTCCCCCTCTTCCCCCTCGTCGTCTTTCCTCTCCTTCAGACCATTGGGTGCCGCTGCGGCGGCATCCTTTCGACTGACAGCCACCCTTCACAGCTAGTAGCGGGCGGCATAGACTGGACACCCACCACCTTCACCAGCAACATGGCCATCTGTTCCCAACGCCCTCGGACGCAAGGGCCAGCCGGGAAAGTGTACATAGGACAAGACGAAACGGGTCGTTCAGTCCAGGGCGCCATGCACAACCATCGTCGTACCCACAGTCGGATACCAAGAATACGCAGGCAGCTGAATCCTATCCGCACAGCGAAGCAACGATTGCGGCTCTTCCTCCAAGACGCTGCTCAAACCGACCGAATATCCGTCCATGGCTGCACCTTGGTCTGGCACGGCTCGTTCGGAGAGAAACATGGTGTTGTAGGCGCGTGCACGTACCTATCCGTACACCACACCTCCATCTCATACCCAACTCTCTTCGTCCCTTGTCTCGAGTGTGGAAACCCTCTTCCGCCTGCCTCTTTCCCCATCCTACAACGCTGCTCAACGAGGTTAGTCACAAGTCATCCCAACAACGCGGACAAGGAGCCCGACTCATCCTTACCGTCGCCGCCGCCCACACCGGCACCTCTTCTATCACCAAGATGGGCTGGGCCAGCACCCTGATTGACCAACCGCAGGGCCATGCCATGCTCATGCTATGCGTGAACATGAAGCAGCACAAATCCAGGGTGGGTCTCCGTTAAACCCATGATTAACAGTCTGACCGTTGCCCTCGTCTTGATGTGACGGTAGAGACCAATCGCCCGTGTCGTTTCGGGGAACCAACTGCCAAGATGTCCTCCGTTCTGTTCCGTTGACGACGCCTTCCCCCCAGCTTCGCCGCCACCCATCTGCCATCGTCCATTCGTGTCCACACAGCTCCTCCATTTGCGAGTCTTGCAAGCTAAGCTCATAGTTGCACACCATCTTTCTCTGGTAACTTACCTAGTACGTGGTCGTGACCACGTTTGTCCTCCACTCCTCCCGCTCAAGGCTTTCAAATTTGTGCTGTCTGGCTCCCCTGGGTGCCTAGCTCAACAGAATTAGATGGGTGGCCCGGACACCATATCGAACTCCAGTCATTT